TCTAGGTGACCCTGCGTGAGCAGGGGGGTTGGACTCGATGACCTCTGAGGTCCCTTCCAACCTTCGGCATTCTATGATTCTATGATTCTATGCTCTAGGTGACCCTGCSTGTGCAGGGGAGTTGAACTAGGTGATATCTAATGGTCCCTTCCAAACTTAACAATTCTATGATTCCATGATTCTATGAAATGTGGCTTTGTGTACCAGAGCCCCCAGGCTCATTTTTTGCCCTCTTTTTTTCTTGTGCAAAACTAACTTCTTTTTCCTTCTCCTGCAGCTCAGCAAAAAGCTCAGCTGGGAAATTACCCCCAAAGAGGAGCAACTCCACTATACTTTCGTCCAGCTCCTGTCAGCAAAAGTCACAGCCTTGCCTGGCCTCTCCTGTTCCATGGCAGAAGCTTGTTCTGGTTGTTACTTCCCTTCTTCAGGAACAGAAAGAGAGTAGATGGCAATGAAGGGGACAGGAACAGCCTGATTCCTTGCACAGTTTTGTAGGAAGACCTCACATACACAGAAGGGCCAGCTGCTTGAGAAAAGTGAAGTAGGGAAGTGATCCCTGCCCCTGCTGCAGCAGCAGACCTGATTTACTCATGCACAGCACAGATACATTTAACAACAGTAATAATTGGTCAGTTTGGCTTGCTTCCCAGTAACTACTCATTCTTTGCCAGTAATGATATTTATTTAAGATTCTTATTAATTATCTCAATTTTAAAACTATACTTGGAATGCTGTTTCTTTAGCACAGAGACTGCTTTCTCAGTAAAGCCAGATTGCATAAAGATTCAGTTGGCAACTATTACATTCTTGATCCAAGAAACAAAACTAGGAACGCGGACAAAAACAGCAGGCTTTGATGGCCGGGTACAGTCTAGTCCCCAAGAGGTGACTCCATATTGGACAAATCTGTCTTCATCTTGGCAAACCAGAGGTCCTCCAACATCAGCCTATGGAACAGAAGAGGGAAAGTGAATTCTCTGGCACTAGACGTGAAAACAGCAAAACACGAGCAAGGATACTGTTGTGGCGACTSTGAAGGCCTCAAAACATAGACAAGGCAAGAGCTTTAGAGAGAGAAGTTTTTTGTTAAATCAGATAATAGAGTTGGGGAAAAAAAAATCTGTCTCCAAGCATACAGGTAATTCTGATCTGAAGAGAAGAGATGCAAGTACAAGTTACTGATGTGGGAATACCTTCAGACTTTGAGGCCAAGTATATGTCAGAAGGAAACCTCTTAATTTTTCACATCATCTAACTGGACAAATGGAATATAACTGTTAAAACAGTTTCTTAAAATACAGATGTGGCARGGTGCAAATGCATATATCTAGTGATTTGTGTTCCTAGCAATGAATTGCTAAGTTCTGTGAAAAATATCATTTTCACTAGGAGTCCTGAGTATCTGCTCAGACAAACATAGAGTCATAGAATCATTAAGGTTGGAAGGCACTGTTAGAGATCATCTAGTCCAACTCCCCTGCACATGCAGGGTCACCTAGAGCATGTTGCACAAGATTGCGTCCAGGCGGGTCTTGAAGAGCTCCAGAGAAGGAGCCTCTGTTATATGGTGTTATACTAGCTGTTCTAATTGACTGTGTGAGTGAAGAAAAGATTCTGTGTATGACTCAGTTCTTTTATTTTATGTGAAAGCTCTAACTTACTGATGCTGTTTCAGAGCCTTGAAAGTGCAGGTTGTCTTTTGATTTGCTTGTGCTCAAGACTAGATTGTTCTTACCTCACAGTGATGTTCGCTTCCAAAAGTAAGACCACCACAAAATTCATGATTTTTGACCCTTCCATTCAGAAATTCGGGGTGATTGCATACTTCATTTTCAAGCACAGATAATTCGATGTACTTTAATCTATTGTCTCCATCAGGACCTTTGTGAACAGTCAAGAAAGCATAGCAGTTACAAATGGTAGCCCATCCACTGTGACCCAGTAAAATCTGAGAAATGAAAGGATTGAGATCTATCCCCAGATCTACTATAGGCTCTGCAGTCCTGAACAACTTGGTTAGATGTTTTAACTTTTCTCCATTTGGATTGTTCCCACTCTAGAATGGAAATAGCAATGATTATTCTCCTTTGCAAAGTCTTACAAAATAGAAAGCAGATGTTCAGTTTCAGGGCCACTTCATCCCATCACATAGACCCAGAAATGGTCTGTTGACTTTCCACCCTAGTATACTTCCAAAAGAAATCTAGCATGAGCTGTTTTCTGGCAGTGATTGGCTAGAAGACAGGAAGGCTCTGCCATCTTGTGGCAGCCTAAGTGAAAGAAAGGCAGGGTAAAGAAAGGAAAATGTGAGTGGAAAGCCAGTGAACACTATCCGCTCTGGAGAAAGGTGGTTCTTTGTAATGCTCTTGAATTGCAGTAACGGTATAATGTATTTGGGTAGCATCAATCTTGCAGCTAAATGCAGGGGAAATTACTGTGAGAGAGGTTTATTTTTTTGGTTTTTTTTGGTTTTTTTTTTTGCACACACACAAAGAAGGATCGCTCGGCTTGCTTTTAAAACTAGTCTTAATAAGGTGTTGTGCTGTTTGCAATTGGAATAGGAAGGACATCCCTTGTGTTTGGTTCAGTGGTAGCAAATGTGGATGTGTGGGAGCAGAAACCAAATGACAGCAGGCACCACCATCCCTGCTGGAGGTGAGAAAGGCTCTGGCAAGGACGGGTCACAAAGGGCTGGGGCTTGCTGTGGCTCTAATCCAAGTATGGTAGAGAGAGAACTAGGCAACAGGAAACCACCTACATCAGTTTTTAAGGGTGAACTGTGAACAAAATTCTGCTAAGGGCTTTAGTGACATTAAAAACCTTCAGCTTGTGCTCACTCTACCTGTGCCACAAAGGTAGCTAGAACTAAGCAAAGGCTAACTTTTTAAAAGGCACTGTCTTTTCAGGGGTGTTGTCTTGTCTCAAATGCRAGGTCTGGGAACCTCTGTCTCTCTGGCATGAAAATAGATACAGAATAGATACAGAAATCTCTGAAGACAGTGATGTGTTGAATTCATATAGCCAGGTGTAAACCTCACCCATATATTTTAAAATTATGTATCTGAAGGTCAATAGAGTTTATTTCTCCCAAGCTTTCAACTACACTAAATGTGTTTTACCTCTTGGTTTTCCCCAGGCAGTTAGAAAACATACTCTGTTTCTTTCTACCACCGGACTTGTTTCAGGCAAACAAACTGGTTTCACATGGTCAGTAAGCATTACAGGGCTGGAAAACAAACAAAGAAAAATAAAAAAGATCCTTAGAAAATAATCATCAGCTCATTTATTCCTCATACTCAGTTAATGTTTTAAAGGAAGGAAGGGGCTGTGGAAAGAGAAGAAAATGGTGCCTTAAAACCATATAGATGTTCCTAAGATGTTTTTTGGCCCCTTAGGGAAAAAGGCTACTTACCAGCAATTGAAAGTATCTGAGATGTGTGAGTGGGCACAGTCACAGTGTGAGTGTAGTGGGCACAGTCACAGTGTGAGTGTATTCGAAGTACAGTGCTAAAATCTGATCTCTTGTTACCCATGCAGTGCTTGTAGGAATGTGCACAAGGCAGTACTAGCACCTTTTGCAGGTGGTGGGAGCCTGAATTCTTCCTGGTCCTCCCAGTCGCAGAGGCTGGACTTGCAGTCGCACTTGCAGGAACTTCACAGGGGCAGAGAAGGATGGATGACTGACTAAATAAGAAGACATAACTAAAGCTTTTTCCATTTTCCTTTGAATTTACGTCTACACAATTACACTGTGGATGGTTTCATRCAATATCTAACACGTAACTAAGTCAAGCATCCTAGTATCCTCAATAAAATAAAGGCAAAATTATATCTGTTCCTTATTGCAGCCAGAACCATGCCTAGAAGTGTCAAAAGTGGCATAAGAATTGATGGGAAGCAGTTCTGCAGAAGATGAAAATGATACATAGCCAAATGCCAATGGCATTGCYTATGCTCAAGTGATGTGTTCCCTCAGAGCAGGGTCTCTGCCTTAGAAATCTCATGGCTGGATTTCATACTGTTGATCACCTAGTGATCAACAGATCTCTGCGTTGGTCTATCTGATCCCTTATTGGCTTTCAGCTGTAGGTATGAAAAGATTATATGACTTTTTAAGGTGTATTATGCTAGATTTTTTTAAGGTATATTATGCTAAAAGTCAAAGGAATGCAAGGATTTCCAGTTCAGTGAATGTGTGTCTGAATATAATGTCAAATGAGATATGTCAGGAACCAGCCCTGGAAGGATAGTCCTGACTATGAAAGACAGCAAAAGGACAGACGTCCACATGTGAGGCAGGGTAAAATGAGTCTTTGTACATATCTTTTCAGGGCCAAAAACTAGCAGGTTCCCCTTTTCTTAATTAGGCTATGTCAAGGTCAGGAGTTCTGTGAAGATTCAGGAGAATGACAGACCAAATGGAACTGCTCCTGACTGATGAAGTGAAGACCTCTTTAATGCAAAGACCTGAATTAAACATGAATGCAAGAGTCCAGGAGGTTAGAAAATGCTAAAGAGATCCTGTGCTGAAGGTACAGTGGCCCCAGTGCCATCATCATTATTTTGAACTCCATTTTCCATCTCTCTAGAGTTTAGAATGGGGATTTATAACATTGACTTTCACATGGTTCCAGGAAATTAATTGTAGAAATCAGTTGGGTGGAAATCAGTTCTGTAGCTTCCAAAACTGGTTCATTCACCTCTGAATTCATGAATGAATGAATAAAGCACATTTCTTATGGAAAAAAAMCACCTGAAAAAATGAATAAGAGGARGCTTTGCTTTCAAGCTTGTATTTAAGCACCCTGGGGTTAATTCCACTGTTAGTTTGGTCCTCACAGTATCTCTGCTGTCTTGCCTGCTGTGGGGACAGTAGAAAAGAAATCATTTTTGAACAGGGGCAACTGGTCTTTGAAGCTTCTGCTTTGGCAACTTCAAGAAGTTAACTTTATTTCTACCTATTCTGCACTAAAGAAATTCTAGTCTGTCTTAAGATGATACCTCGCTTCAGGTATCATCTTGCCTCCTCTCTCTCTGTTTCAGTGGAGTTGCTCTTTAGTGGTGGGAAGCAGTGGATGAGTGGGAATCCCCCACCGYAATCCCTCCCATCCTAACTGGTGCKTGCCTTTCCTAAGCTGTGTAAGTAGCTCACATGGGTACTGCCCRAGTGAGGTCACTCAGAAGGGGAGCTCTGAGTGTGCCCTATAATAGATTCCCAATCTAATGCTCAGAAGGACTCACACTCGTTCACACCACCGAAAACCAACTCTCTGAGTCAAATCCAGACAAGGTAATTCATGACTTCACAATAAAAGCATTAAAAGCAGGAGCACAATAAAAGCATTAAAAGCAGGAAAACCTGGGCTAAAATTGTACCTGCTCATCTTCAGCAAGGCAATGTCTGCTCCATTGGGCTCCTTGAATAATTTCTGAATGCCACGGATTTGCAAAGATGGTTCTGCTGCCTTCAGGTTCTGTAGCCCCAGAAAGACCCTGTAGGAAGAGGCCTCTGATAACCTGTAAGAAATGACAGTGGCAAGTTTATACTGGAATATACTTATATTACTTATAAATAGGAATTTTACTCTTCAAAAAAATTGTTGATCTCCCCAGAGAACTGAATTTAACAAGATGGCCAAGATGCTGATTTTGATAATAAACACCCAAATTGATCTTGGAGAGGAGTTTTTTTTTTTTTTTTTTTTTTTAACAGTCTATTTTTAATGATTATGGAATATCCCATGGGCTGTAAATAATGAGGCACCTTCTTATAGTGTTCACACTCCTCAAGCCCAGTGGGTCAACTGCTACTTTTCCAAACATAACTAGTACCAGCATAGCTGCTTTTCAGACAGGAAGAGAGCAGATGAGAAAAGTTCTGTCTGCGGGAAGACAGAAAACAAGAAGTAGGTTGGAAGCATATGATAAGCAYGTGGAAATTCCTTGTCACAAGACACAATTGGCATAATTTTTGCTCTAGACAGGTTCACAGCAGGAAGCTCATTTTTCCTTAGAATACCTCCTTCCTCCCCCCCAAAAAGGATACTCACTGTTGCAAGCACTGAGCTGCAGTAAGAACCCACTGTGGATGTATCAGAGTACCCACACAATGGTGCTCATTGGTGCTACAACAGAGAAGACTGTAATCAGATTAACTTAAGACTGCATAGTCAAGTCTCCTATCATTTCTGCTATGCACAATAAGAAATACTGGCAAACTACYACTATGTCCCTAATTCAAATAATTATCGTTCATAAATTGTATTTTGTCAATGATATAAGAAATCAAATACAGATTTTCAAGGCATAAATTTTATTTCTCCAGAACGTGAGACACGTAGAAAGAACCTTGATACCCAGACAGAAGTTTTACAACAATGTTCCAGTGTGACAGAACACTGTCGTTCCAGGAATATAACAAAAATAGTGACATTTTTAGTTGTGATGTAATGGGTTTGTCCTGAGCAACTAGTAAAAGGCCACACCTGGCTGATTTTGCAGGTGTTTTCTGGTTTTCTAAATAAGCATATTGTTTTTGCCTTGTTATGGACTTTCAACTTTTCTTATATTTATTAATATAAGAATATTTATTATGGTGACTATCAAAAACTCCACAGAAATTTTCATAAACCTTTCTGTTAGAACTTCTATGTCCTCTGTTCAGCCATTTTCACTCAGGCTGCGAAAACACATAATAATAATATTATATATAATATACATTGTATATATTATAACATATAAATATATAATATATAATTATATTATATATTATTATAATTATGAACAATATATAACTAATAATTTATATGTAATGTACTGTAATATATTCTAATGTATACTATTATATACATTTACTATATATTATATTATATACATTTACTATATATACTATTATAATGTGTACTATTATATAGTACATATTATATATATAATATTAATATAATGCATAACAGTGTTTTTGTATTGAGAGATAATGGTTTTCACATGACCTCTAACATGATTAGGGCACACTCAGATTCAAATTACATTTAAACCAGATTGGATACCATAAAGAAGGGATAAGCAAAATCCAATTGCACACATTGCAAGTTGATGGCTTCATGCCTGGGTTTCAYTCCCATACTGCAAGCTTCAATTAACTCTCATTAACCTCAGCAGGACTTATTCCCTCCCAATTTCAGTAAATTAAAGCATTTTCAAGGCCTACAGTTCAAGTCTGCCCTCTAGAGATTCAGCAGAAACTAGAAAGTTTTGGGATAACTATTCAACAGTCCTTATCTGTGGAAATTATTTATAAAATAACATTTTAAGGTATTTTATATACAGACCAAGGCCCGTCTCCAGAAATAAAGGTTCTGTCTTGACACACTCTTTCTACAGGCTATTCCTTATGAAACTCTGGTGCTCATAGAAAGCCATGTAGCTTGGAATATCAGTACCTCATCCTGAGGCTGACATGCCAAGGCCAAGACCCTGGAGAAGCATCACACATGCTGTATGGCTCACACGTCCGTTCTCTTCTCATTGGGAATTTTCCACAGCCAGGGTGAGAAGAAGCTACAAAATAAAAGAAAGTCACAGTAAGTCTGAAAGCAATTCTGCACTCTGTTTCATAGGGCAATCAGATAAGAAGAGAAAGGAATAAAGCCTCTATGTCCTCTTTAGGGTTTCAATYTTTATGCTGGTTAGAAAATAATGGGTTAAGAAGCAGGCAGCCCCTTTGATCCCGTTATATTATTATTACTATCAACACTTTAAGCTGAGATTAACATCACTTTTGACATGAAGACATAGACAAAAAGAAAACCTGTCAGCTGTATCAAGTATGCCTGTGATCAGCTAATACAAGTAAAACTATGATGAGCCAGAAAAGGAAGAACACCTAAGTGGAAAGCTAATGGGAAAAGAGACTGAAAGGAAGGATAAGAGTTTAATGTCCAGGCCAATTAAATCTAATAACTCTCTAAATTCCTCAAAATCCTACAGGCTCCACTTTGATTTAAACTTATCTGTAATTATCATTAAAAAAATTGAGTCACTATCTCCTCATCACAGAATATCGCAAGTATGTCTTCGCTTTGCTCATTCTGCTTTCTTGGTAGCCCAAATCTCTCTGCGTTTTTTGAAATAGTTGGATTTTCTGTGCTAGATAAGGACCAGTAACTCTTTCCAGAGCTGCATATGTTGCTATGAACATGAAATATCTTGATTCTGGTAAAAGACGATTAAAAAGCAATCAAAGACAAAAGGCAAGAGACTTTAAAGCTCACATACACTTGAAATTAAAAATCTAATAATSAAAGGCTGCTTTGAAAAGAGATCAAATCTCAGAAGTAAAGATTCATCACAGCAGTTCCAGGGAGAAAAGCTTTTTACAACTGTGGTTTGTGTTTTTGTAAACTATTCCTTATTCTTTTTGCCTTTAAAGATCTTATGTCTGGCTGGCAAAGTACAGTCATAAAGCACTGCTGTTTAGAGAAACACTCTAGGTGGCCAGTGTGAAGAACGTTTTATTCTATTGGGAGAGAGATCTCCCKATGTGGTTTTATATTGCTACACTGCCAAGCAGAGCAGGAAACTGGCTTCCAGATGTTCCTGCAGTTATAAGATGAAGAAATAGACTTTTTATCTCACTGCCAAATATATGAAAAAAGCATTTGTCAACATTCAGACGAAGCAGGGAAAAAAGAAGCAAATGATGTTACTGACAAATATGCCAAGCAGCACTCCCAGTACATTATACTTCTTACTGACTCCCATTGCCAGGGTATCTTCAGAAGTTAGAAGTTCTTTTGTTGTTGACTTTTTAAATGAGGACTACATCTGCCCAGTATGCCAAGTGTAGCATCCGAAAATAGAAGAAAGTAACTAAGGAAACCTATGTAAAATATCCAGGAGCAGGTTCTAGAATGGCTGGTCCTGTCAAGAAAAGCCTCTCCTGTGTTTGAGGACTCCAGAGAATGAATCTTTCTGTGCAGCTTTACTGGGTATATTGACTTCAGCTCTGAGTTCTTGGCTTCACTGTTGATAAGGAGCACATGAATTGTTATCTACAAATTGCACAGATGATTCCTAGCATCAGTTAACTAAACTTTGACTAACTGTAACAGGCTCTTGGTCCTGTCAAACTTCCATGCAAACCTAAATTCAAATCTACAGCTACTACCTACTGTGTTTTTTTGCTGATTGGATTGAATACATCTTGTAACTATCATAGCAGACTGCAGAAAGTGAGGASAGATAAGTTTTAAGGATAATTACAGCAGCGTGGGATTTCACAGTACTCCCATTTTTTTTCTGGATCTGTTGTGAAGCACCAAAGACCATTTACATCTCCATCAGGATTCCTGCAATACTGTAATAATTACAAAAACAGAGAATAAAAACTCCAAGTATTGGATACAGAATTAAAAAATCTACTGGTGTATGTTTTAAAGAAATGTTAATCTAAAGATTTGAAGTATTTTCTCCAACTACTTTTCCATTTCCTTTTTATTAGGTACTTTATATTTCTTCTAACCACAAAATTTTTGTTTCCTCCATATCACAACATTATGYGAAATTAGAGAAGTGTAATAAATTCCTATTATTGTCAGCAACCCATAGTCAGCCTTGCTCTAGTGCTTTTTAAGGCCTCACAAAAAGTAAAGTTTGACATAGGATGGGATTTGCTTTAGTGAGAAGTTGGTGTTGGCCTAATTGTTCTTCCACTGAAGTCACTGAAAGCAACTTAGGTCAACTCCAAGATTCTGCCAGAACACTACTCATTTTGTGACAAACAGCAAAAGGCATTAATTCCTCTGAAGTCTGCAGAAACTAAGCAAGCCCTCGATGATCTCTTTTATACTGCCTGCTTGTAACCAGCAATGCCATGGCATAACTCAGTGCTTGAAATACCAACATCCCAGGTAACGTGTAAGGTGTCTTTCCCTCTCCGTTACTGTTATATTCTGGGCTAACAATATGATGACCTCCAGGTACGTGAGGCTGGTCTATAAAGACCCAATGTGAAAAGTTTGCTGAGAGGTCATGGAGAAAAGAGAAAGCATTCAATGACAACAGCGGCATGAACAGCTCTTTACATTTTTATCCAGGCCTGCTCTTGGATGAGTCACAGGAGTGAAATAGTTGTGGCTATGAGGTGTCTGAGAGCTCCATGCTTGGCAAGTCCTGCCCTTTCCAGTTTTTGCTACTGTGCCACGGTAATCTTTACCGTTACCATTAAYACATTCTGTGAAGAAAGAGGAAAAGGAAGCCATGTTAGCTGCTAAACCCATACGTTGTGATAAGTAGAAATAAGTTGGAATGAGTCATCCTAGGATTTATATAGTCTGCAGTTACTACAGCAGAAATTAAAAGGAAATGGTACCTGGGATGTGATTTCTGTCCAAATAGATGTGTTATTTTGTATTCAGTGTTTTTTGTATTCAGTACAGAGCAACCGAACTGGAAAAGAACTCATTGAACTTCAGGCAAAATGCTGTCTGTAGCATGTCACAGATATCTGGAAAAATCCTTGCTGAATTAGTGGCAGCAAGCATCTCTCATGAGACAAGCTTATTTTAGAGTTAGCAGCCCATTAAACTGAGAGGGCGCTTGTTTTCAAGAGTATGGCCTCAGGTACTTTCTTCTGCAACATGTGAGTAAAAGTAAACAGCAGCAGTCAGGATTTAGTCTTTTAACCAACCCWGCCACTTTTTCTTGCAAAGTAAACATCCAGTAGGATGCTATCTATTCAAAACAGTCACAGGGCTTGGACTAACGTGGGCTTTTCAATTAAGCGAGCAGCTATGCAGGATAGAGCAGAAACCAGTGCCCCTTGGTGCACATCTTTTACAAAACGCGTTTTCATATGAACAAACTCCACCRAAGCTGAAGTGAAATGATGCAGGACAAGGATATAAAATGACTGCAGAACATCTGCTGCAAAACTCAAAGGTACCATTCTGAAACCTGGAGAAGGGTTATATTATGCTATAGCACTCACAAGGCATTTAGACTGAATATTTGCTTTACCAACAGGTACATCAGGAAGTGCCACATATAGCCAGCTTTACCAGGTGTGGCGGGTATAGTTGGGTCAACGCTTTGAACTGTCATTGCAGGAAGGGGGTTTGGTGCCCGCTCTTGTATCTGATCATCACACCTCTTCAGGCTGCAGTACTCCCATAGCACTCCGGGGTCAGTGGTGAAACACCATGGACGTTCATCGGCATCTGGGTTTCTGCAATAGTTCTCCCTCAAATCCCTGTAGAAAGAAGCAAAATAATCATATTGAATAGCACTGAAGGTGGCCATAGGAATATCTAGGTGGGTATGTGGGTTTGTGGGTGTGTATGATGTAAAAAATGTGGGTATGTATCACGTAAAAATAAATACCTTTATATATCTTTTTGCATATTRCCAGTGGTCTTATTATCATCATGCAAATTTATGGCTGTGAATTTGTAGGAGTGAAATATTTGCTTCACATACATATCAGAGAGGTGAATATATTTAAACTAAAGGAAAGATAATCTATCGGCATAAATTCAGGCTGCAATATATCAATGCATTGAGTGCTAAATAAATGACTAGTATGACAGAATAGCTGGGGCTGAACTTGAAAAGCTCATCTATTCTGACTCCTCTACTTAAATAGGGTCAGGTAATATCACAATAACTTTATTTCTAAGCACATATGAATAAGCATACACAAGTATGTGAATGTGCAAATTGCTTAGCAATAAATACAGATCAACATCCATATCATTAGCGGACAATTATGCTTTAACAGAATAATTATTTTTAAAAGTTAAAAGWTTTCCTTCTCTTACTTTTAAGAATGGTGAATAAGTAGTGATGCACATGAACCATTTTTCTGCAAATACCCTTCCAGTTAATTGAATGGAAGCACTGACATGCCTGTGTGTCCTGGGGCAGGAGGAAGTGGAATTCCCTTCTCTAATAATTTGCAAAATTGCAGTGTTTCCTCATCCTGCATCAACTTATTCCAATTTTAAAGCCTATTTGTAAAAAAAACCCCTTTTCTTAGTATGTTTGAGTTAAAATACATCAGTATTTTTAGTGCAAAATATGAGTGAAAATTTCCAATGAAATTTATTTAGGGTGAAATCAAAAAGAAAGAAGAAAAAAAAAGAGAAAGGTGTTAACTTTTCTGCTTTTACTTGTAACCCTGCAAGTAATGATGGATTTCCTAGCAAATGTCTTTTGTTGCTTTCCTACCCTTATTAAYAACTGGCACATTGGTAACTACAACTAGCTCTAGAAGTCATCACTGGTCCAGTTTCTTAATCCAAAAAAGAGAGTAAAAAAAAATAAGTGAGAAAATTCAATGTGTGTAATTTTGTGTGCAAACATGTAAAAGGACACAGTTACATTTTGTTCAGAATTTAAATAATTGGATAATTGGAAGAGTTTTTTTTATGAAACTAACAGAAAATAGTTACACATCTTGAAAAAATGGTGAAAAAATCACTTTTATTGCCATTATTTTCAAACATTTTCAAACAATCAATATCATTTTCAGCGATAGCCATTCTCAGATAAACAGAAAAAGTAAAATAAACATACGCGTTTGGGAATTTGTCTGGGGTTTTTTCATGTCTGTGTGGGAACATGGAGTTCCAGGCTTGGCATTCCTTTCCGGACACAGTGAGGGAAGCTGTGCCACGGTAACTCAGGCCTTTGCCTCGATAGCACTCCTCTGAGACAGGACTCTGTTCAAGCACTTCAGTGCCTGCAGAGAACAACAGAAACCACTGCCTTGCATCTTAATTTCATGTTCATATTCAGGAGGCACAAGAAAGCACCAAACACACCAAAGGATAAAAAGGATTGATTCATTTATGCAGATGGCTTTGTATATATGTAGCCACATATCTGTCAGCATGAAAAATGGAAGGGCGTTTCTACAGATAYTTAATAACTTTCACAGATTATCCTCATATGTCAGAAGCTGTTCACTACAAGGGTYATCCTTCAGTTCCACTTTGGTATATGTGAAAATGTTGGGGTTACACATCCAGAAAGTTTACATGCAAAATTCCTCCAAGTAGAGGCATTTGTGATTTTGTGTATGATGTTTTCATAATGCCCTGCCTTTGGGAAAAAAAAAATATATACATGTATATATAAAGAAATAAATCTCCTTCACCCTGTGTTTTTTTTTTTTTTTTTTTTTATGTTGTGTCTGTTGGTGACTTATATTCTTCACTGCAGTTCCTCACCATTAAAAGTCCAATTTTCCAAAAATGTTATTTGGCAGATTTTGCCTCATGCCAAGCAGAACAACTGCAAAAGAATAGTGACAAAGTAGCTAAAAAAAGATTTGACATATTAATATTGACAAATAAGAATCTCACTGCTTTAATGTCCTTGTCTCAAGTACACTCCACTACTCATACCAGCAGGCTGTTGTTCTGTCCCATCACAGTGGGGAATTGCACAATATTCCCACCGAACATCTCTGCTGATAGTGTAGCACCAAGGCCTTTTCTCTCCATCAGGGTTTCTGCAGTAGTTTTCTTCTAAGCCCCTGAAACAGAAACACTGACTTAATGTTACTCATAAAATCAAGAACGGGGTATGTGCAAGACTAATAATTACTGCATGCAGAGTTTAACTCAGCAATCACATTTATTCGTATTACAGATGAATTGGTTTGTGCACCACGATTTTGGGACAAGCCAAAAGCTTTTGTAACTATAATCTAGATGTCGATAACTTATAAAGTGCTTTCCCATTGTTGCCTGTCTACTTTCTACCCTTCTTTGGAGGCCAAGATGGGGCTGTAAAAGCTGATTGGAAAACAGACCTTATTGTCAGACCAGAGGGGAGGATGGATATGACACACTGCTTCTTGGAGGTGCCCAAGCCCGCACCAGTTCTGTGCACTGTTCTCTGCCCTCCTGCAGAGGTGTTGGACAGGACTCCACATGCCCAGGACTACTTATTGGCTCCGCTTAGCCCACAGGGTACAGTTTCAGAGCTAAAACTCTGTCAGTTCCAGCTACTCGGGCTCTTTGATAGTACTCCACAGGCTTAGCTTCTCTGGCCTTGGAGCACCAGAGGAGGGAGAAAAAGCATGAGGAATAATGCACTGAAAGCAAGCAAAAGCCATGGGGCCATTTGAGCCACAGAAATATTTAATATAGAAGCAGTAAATGCTTGCAAATGTTCAGCAAGATGAGCAGGAATGCAAGTACAGGGGAGACAAGTTCATGAGCATAAAGCAGTATAAGACACCTGTGCTTCTCTTGCCTATATATCTGCATCAATTATTTAATATTTGTCAAAGTCACTGAAAAATGCAGAGGTTCAACATACTTGCAGGGATAGCTGTCAGGAATCCAGCCATGCCTGTGAGGAAACTGTGTGTTCCAGTGTTGGCAAGTGCTTCCTGATTCAGTGACAGATACTCTGCCCCGATAGTCTTCTCCTTTACCTGAAAGACACTGGGAACTGGATCCAGAAACTGGTTGGCGTGTAGCTGCACCAGGAGTTTAAAAAAGAAAAAAAAAAAAAAAAAGACAGAAAAAAAGTTAGCAGTGCTTTTAAATATATATTTTTTAAAAAATACATTTTTCTTTCTGCAGAGGTGGCATTAGTGAAAGCCAGGGCAAAGCCAGCATGCGCATTTTCATGTCCTGTGTCTGCCCTTTTACAGCAGTCAGTAAACAACACGTATGAGAACAGATCTTGAAAGGGAGTATGTAGACCTTTTCTTTCTTGTAAAAACATCTAGGAAGAAGGGAGCACATTAAGGTGACACATACAGGTAGTATGGGAGGGCATATGGAGTAAGATAAGGCCCAAGAAAAAGCTGTGAGAAAAAACATGGCAGCCTTTGGAGCAAAGGCTCCAGAGACGGTGAGCTAACACAGTGGGGCAGGAGGAAAAATGAAAGAAAGCCAACTGATATGGGTTACACAATGCCATGATCAGAATCACAGCATCTGAACAGATCAAAGGGAAAATGAACATACTCTACATATGTATTAAACACACATCATATCTGTACTTTCTTGAGAAGTGTGAGTCTAAATCATCATTTTGTTCCATAAACTTTCTGAAACTTTTAARCACAAAATGGGTATGCTCTGATCTCTTGCACAATTTACCTTATCACCCCAAATCTATGAACAGTCATTCTTCTATCTACAAAAGAGCATGCTGAAGTTAACTAAATCTAACAAACACATTCTGCTTTTTACAGAACTGAACAGAGCAGATGCATGAGAAAGCAAACTCCAGAGATATAAGCACAAATTTTTTTCTTAAACTTATGCACAGTTCTACATATGGCAATTCTAAACTCATTATTGAGACCTGGGAAATGTCCAGGCTTAGAATATTCCCTTTAATGGATTAAGCTCAGGTTTTCTCCTGAGACCTGAATTTGTTTTGCAGGGTTTATCTTCCTCTAAGAAAACTGAGAGCATTTGTCCTGTGTTAGTGAACACTAAGTAAAAATACACAACTTGCCAATGGTATTTGAACTATAGCCTGAGGTTAAAGCTGAATGACATGATTCTAGGGTTAATTGAAAAATAAAGTTGTTGAAGACAAAGTACTGCTTCCATAACTTGTTTGGCAAAGTGGTGCTTTATGGCCCCTGTACCCACACTGAACCTACGTTATCTAATGTAACAGAACGCTGCTTATTGATGTACACCTTTCCTGGTTCACAACGATTTCCTCAGAATACTTGGAGCAGTGATTTTTGTCTTTTTCCTCTCTGAATCATTTTGATGAGTAGAGCTACCCTATGGTGTGATCTCTATAAGTCAGACTCACTGCAGCGAGGAATGTCACAGTATTCCCAACGTTTAGTGGGGCTGGTAGTGAAACACCAGGGACGGAGGTCACCATCAGGATTACGACAAAAATTCATCTTCAGATCCTTCTCTGGAAAACTGAATATTAAAATGCAAGTTATGCTTGTGAGTCAGTTATGATTGGCTGTAGCAATCAATCTGTCTGACGGCAGAGTTTCTCAAACAGTGTAGGGATGAGAGGAGCACTGATTGTGACTCACTTTTCAGGAAGAAATCCATGCATATGAGGCTCTTGGGAATCCCAGTGTTGGCACTGAAACCCCGACTCTGTTCTGGACACATTTCCACGGTAGTCTTCACCATTACACTGCATGCACTCAACTGTAGGGCCAAGGCAAAAAGATGAAAGAAATCAAGTTAGGACCAGCCCTAGAAATTTGATCCTTATCCATTGGTAACAGAGAATATTGGAAGGCAAGCAAAATTATGGAAGGAACCCAGAAGTCAATGTCAACAACAATTAGTCAATAACCTAAACACTTGAACAAAGCTATAGKAATACAAATTATTTGCAGGGAGGACTTTTTCTTCCATCTATATGTACTACTGGCAGTAGGCATTCTGAATTTAACTCAGCATTGAGTCAATCTTTATTCTTGCTAGAATTAAAAAATTTGTTAGAGTTCAGAGGAGAAAATATCACTAAAGGATTAAAAAAATTTATTTCCTCTGTATTTACAAAATCACTTTTTAGGAAAACAACCTTTATTTTGACAACTTCTTAAATTCAAATTTGATCTAAACTCACATTTCAATTAAGAAGAAAGCATGAATAATATGTACTTGACTACATTTTCTCTGAAAAATAAATATACCTTCTCCACTATGCTTGTCCTGACTCTCACACTCTGGGATGTTGCAGTAATCAAATCTGGTAGTTGGGTCTGTTGTGTAACACCAGGGTCCATTTTCATCCATATCAGGATTTCTACAGTAGTTTTCCTCCAACCCTGCGTGGGGGTGTTTTTCAGGTGTAAAACTGTAACAGAAATTAAAATGGCAAGAAATTGGGATGGAAATATCCAACTTCCTCAGCTAACTTTGGCCTTTTAGTGTGAAGTCATTTGCAATAAAAMCGAGAGGTGATCAAACCTACAGTTGACAGACTATTTGTGAATCCAGTACTGCCAGATTCAGGCCTGTAGTTAACACAGTATTTGTTATCCATATTAAGAGATCAGTCCAGTCTCCCCCAATCCTTTGAGGAGCAGTTGGGGCACAAGGAAATTTATCTCTTACCAAATTTGCCCTGCCCCCCACCATCAACCTGCAACATACACTCATATGGAAGAAATGAATTCTGGCCCTAAAATTAGCACTGATAGAATTTTCAACTCATTTTGGTGAAATAAGCATTCTACATTCTTAAGAGCCCCAGCGTTAAGCACAACTTATCTAGTTGAAGATAGGCTTTGTTTTATCCAGTGCACTGCAGTTCTCTGTCTCTTGACTCTGCCAGTAGAGTAACAACAGGAGAGTTGAAAAGTCACCTCAACACCAGACAACTTCCTTTGATAAAAGACACTATAAAACTTGTATGCACCGAATAGGGGCAGCTTGGAAAAGATGCAGAGCAACATAGAGACAAACATAAATAAGGCCATACTTTGGTTTGTGRGGTACTTTGTCAGCCCACTTCTGACATGGAATACCCTTCTGAGTTTTCGCTTCTGTTCCTCTGTAGTCCTTCCCATTTCCTCTTTTACACTGTAGGAAGTAAACTGAAAAGGAGTTGGTTTTGTTGGTTCAACAGTGTTACAACATCGGAACAGAACATTTGCAGATTCAACCATAAAGCTCACCAGTTTAGACACATTTGCCCATRTTTTGACTTTGTTGCAAATACAGAGATATGCTTCTAGAAGTATTTAAGACCAAATTAGTCTACTAATCCAATCTACTAAGGAACTCCAGAGGAAAGTTTCTGTACTATTTTTATAATAGCAATAAAATTAAGATTACGTTAAGGAAATGGATATAATAAGTGACAGTTTTTTTGATTGTATGACATGCATGTTTTTATTATCATATTATCAGGATGAAAAAGGTCTTTCACCAACAGTTGAAGATGCCTCAAAGTGTGTTGTTCATAAGCATATCTGTAGCACAGGTATTTTGCAACTGTCCTTTCAAGCCACAGACTTGGTATATAGACCACCTTTTATACATATCTTTTTCATCCTTCAAACTGTGGCAGTACCTGTTGAAGGTCAGCCTGCCTGGCTACTGAACTGCTGACACAACAGCTTTCAATGCTGTTGGGGGGCTGCTAAATATTAAGGAGGAGGCTTGACTTCTACTCATTCTGCAATGAAAGCTGAAAGGAGATAGCCTCTTCTCTTAAAAAGTCAGGAAAGGTCTTCCAGTCAGTTAAATTGACTAGTAATTCTGCAGTAGGGTTGCAGACAAAGGTGTCTGCTTAGAGAGTTTTTGATAAAAATAACTCTAATAGTGGTTTTGCATTYTAAAACAGGAAGATTCCAAGAAAGCTTAACACATGTAACTGTGTAGCATCACACTATATACATACTTTTCTTCTCATAGAGAACTGCATCTGTGCTGTTGAACATCAATGTTGTTTTGCTATTTTCAGCCAATGTTAAACACTGTTKCTTTATCCTCGTGAATAGGAAGGCCCTGTTGAAAATGAGAAGAAAACATGAAGCAATGTTATTAAATCACTTTGTATTATTCAATTTGCAATTAATTTTCTGTAAGCTATTTTTTTCTAGCACTTCTCTTAGATCTTAGAGTACTACATTTTAGAGATACTCACATTTTCTATTGATCTGAAGTGGCTGACTTTGTCAGAAGGTATGACTATAAGAAGAAGTTACTGAGTGAGGAGTTAGATTTTGAATTTATCAACAGCAGTGTAGCTGTCTAGTCTAGGGTTAGCATCTTTTCTGACAGCAAATCAAAAACATCTTATACTTCTTTCATGAAACTGCCACACTCAGCTAAAGAGATGTAAGCAACTTTTCATATAGAATTAGATGAGACCATAAATTTGGACATTTASTATAGAGTGATTAATGCACTTGCAAGTGCATCCTCTAATTGACACAGTGGCAGTTTACAGAAGGAAGTAAGCAAAGTTATAGGCAAAGCTGTTGCAGGCAGGTCTACCCTGGGTTGCTGATGGTCTCTCCTCTGAAGAAGAAGGAGCTTTCCCATTTGGCACCTGGGTGATACAACTCCTGTTCCCCAGGTGCTATGAACTTGCTTTACCCAAATGTGTTCATGTGAAAACTGTGTGAAGCTCTCATCCTCGTTTCTGAGCAGCATGTTCCTTAGTGGGGTGCATGGAGCAGAAGGGCTGAAAAGCCTCAATACTAGTGTGTTACACTGTTTTCTGGGGGGAAGAAAGTGTGCCTCTTCCCAACAAGTGCTGAAATTAAAAATAGTTTGCTTGATTACTTCTTCCATATGTTCTCTTTTTAACTACATATTCCAGCAATTCACCTTCTTTATGTTTTTTTTTTCTTTCCTTCCAAAATTGAAGGTGTGTTTACTTCTGAGCAATAGTAGAAAAATGTCATTGATCRGATATTTAGTCATCCACAATGACAYAGTGTGTGATTTAAAAGAAATTACCTGCAATTAAAACTTCTTTCATCTTCACATTTCTCTGCACATTCTCTTTCACTATTTGTCGTATAGGACTGCTTATTTCGAGTAAGTATCCAAACACCATCTGTTCTTAAATAGTCATCTAGGATATCTCCTTTCACTACAAAGGAAGAAAAGAAAATGAACATTAAAAATGGGAGGGCTGTGGTTTAGATGATCTGCGATTTTAAATCCCATTTTCTGTGTAGCATTGGCAAGTAAAGTCACCATTTACTTTATGCACTTCTGGGTAAATGGTGATAAAATCTGAGAAAATGTCAGTCTTCTGATACAATCACAGCTACATTGCTGCAACACTTGATAGCAAGAAAAAAAATGAGAGAGAGATGTAGAGAAGTAGCTCTGATCGGAGTTATGCATGGGTTTGAAGCAGGCAAAAAGAAATGTGAACTACAGTAAGCAACAGTGGAAGAGGGACTTTGTATCATAAAATGGCAGACAGTGAAGCATGAGAAGTGATAGCAATGTTAAGGATTTGGAGAGRTGTGAGCTGGGAGGATATGAGACTGTGACCTCACATGTGGAATGTATAGTCTCTAAAGTCTCTTTTTTGGCCACAGGATGTTTGTCCTCAAATGTTCTGCACTGGAGCAAGAAATGCCATCATAAAATGATTGTATACAATGACCACTGTTATATTTTCTACACACACTTAATAATCTGTCTTGTTGTATCACAGTTGCAACTCATTGCAACATCATTCCAGTGTGATGCCCATGAAACAGGAGCATCCATACAGTTCCCTACATCCATACAACACCTAAAACACATTTAAGCCACTAATGAAGATGTGATCATTAATATCTTGAGGGGAATCTTCTATGGCTGTTGACAGATATTGCTCAATGCTGTAAGAATACATATCTAAAGAAATGCTTTACACAAGGCCCTCCCTTATCTAATTTTGCCTATAGGGTGTATGCAGCACCAGCAGCCTACCAATTTCTCCTAAGTGACTCAGTAGACAAATGTTCCCTCTCCTAGCCTTTTTCCCCWCGTATTACAAAATCATACCAGCTGTGTTCATATGTTTGCAACAGTATTTTTAAAAGGTATTTAAACACTGTATAATCACATGCCATGTCAAAGTACCAGCAGAATATGAAATCAGATTGAAATCTAATGTACACTACACAAGGAATATTTATTTACAAAGTTTGTAGATGTGCTTGAAAACAATATATTATCTTTAGAGGGCCTTTTATCTTCTTAGGGAATTGTAAAATGTAGTATCAACTTTCCTGTGGAAAAACTGATCTAGATTATTGGAGACTAAATTTTCACCTACTGCCCCCAAGAAAATCAGGGGAAAAGGTCTGGCAGTAAAAAATGTGAAAATGATGGAATATAAAGGAATACTCCTTTTTTAAAAATTTTGTCTTAAAGACTGCATTTAAAATTTTGCAGACTTCTACCATAATGTATAATGCATCAAAATCAGGTTCACAGGGCTTAACAGCCACCCTTGCTGGCCAGCCATCCTGATATCCTGTGGTATGTGGGTAGATGGAAGCACATGGATTTTGGTACCTACCTTCATAATGTGGAGCTTGCAGGTGTTGGGTCCCCATCTGCCCTACTCAAGTGGAAGGTAAAGGATTCTTACCTGAGCTGAGGAGAAGAAAAAGAAAGGCAGCTTTGCTAATCCCCATTCTGGCCCAGCTGAGGGGTGCCACAAGCTGCGTTTGTCAATGCACAAAGTTTTATTGACTTGTTCTGGAGTGAGGCAGCATCAAACAAACAAGGCACTTGGGTTAAGTTAATCATTCTCCCACTCTGTGACCACATTTGCCATCATATGGAAGTTCAAACAACCTTGAATTGGATATATTATCAAATAAGAGTCAGTCCTTTTACTGGATGCCTGGAAATGAGGAAGGACGCTCTCATGTTGCTGGTCGTGCTTTCCAAGATGATCAGCAGCCTTCRCGTGTGGGGCCTGCATACCCCACCACCCTGACAGTGTTAGGTGGCCTGGGAGCTCAGCTGGTGCCTCCACACTGAGCTGTGCCCTCCAGAGACAGCAGCTCGTTCCCGCCGACCCAGTAACTCAGAAAATTACACACACATGCTATCTGGTARGGCTGGCATGCCTCCAGAAACATCTTCCATTGCAAAGAGCAAAGCAGCTCCCTTGAGCATGTGCTCAGATGGTTTCTTGAGCAAACCAGGACATGGACAATACTTGTTGCCTTATGCTTTTCATGGCACTCATGTGACRTGAATATGCTTCCTTGATATATTTCCTATATTCTTTGTCCTCATTCTCATCCAATTTGCAAAAGCAAATGTTGAGTAATAAATAAAATTAATCTGAAATGAAAGAAATACCCACATGAGCCTCCAATAAATATGAAAACTTTGGTCTTGCTTTTGGTGTGCATCTCTGACCAAAAGGAATTGCAGTAGTCAAAATTCCCTTTGCGATCTATTAAAGGAGCAGAAAAAGCAGGGGGGGAAAAAACAGATTTTCTATTATCAGAGACAATGTGTGTACGAAGCTAGCAAATCAGGATATAAGGAAGATTTTTTCTTGATTAGTGATACACAAAAGTTACGCCAAAACTTTAAAGAATAAGGCATCACAATATCTTCAATTTCATATCTCTTTTAAAAAAAGGCCCATCATGGTAACCCATGAAGAGGTGCAGGGCCTATGGTGAGAGGAAGAAGGATTAGGATTAGAACCTTTTTACAGGTGAGGAGGACCTGAGGCACCTGGAGTTTTCCCTACATGGAAGTGGCAGGGGATACAGGAGAGGTGAGATCAGCAGAGCTGCAGGTGAAAAGGGATATAAATCCACGCAGAGTAAATCCTGTCTTATTTTGCCACCAACAGCACTGCCTGCTTTGCTCTCAGACAGAAATCCGACACAAACTGTAGACGCAGGACTGATGCCCGAAACCACTCTAAATCTGCTGATAGTAGGGAAAATCCTCTCTTTTGGGTCTTGGACAATCAGAGGTAGAGACATCTCATGTATATTTTTTAATATAAACTGTGGAAATTGCATCTTTGTCTTAACCTAATCTTAACCCAATTTTCTTTGGCAGTTTCTGGAAAATGTGACATTCTGGTAATGTCCAGAAGGGTGATGCTTTTCTGCCAAAGTAGGTGACACTAACACCCTGCATAAGCAAAGGTGTCACTAACCACTTCTGACACACAGGCAGATGTTTGTTCAGGAACCTGGATAATTCCCAAGTGCTTTATTATTTCCTTGCCCAGCTCACAGTACAAGCTTATAATGAAATTTATCTTAAGTAAATGTGTTCTTTTCCTTCTCCCTTCCCTTCCCTTATTGCCACTGCTGCAGTCCACACTAACCACCTCAGTGATTTCCATGTACTCTCTTGATGGGCTGCAGTCCAGTACTGTAGGTTCAGTTGTTTAAAGAAAGGRAAAAAAAATCATTCTTTTCCAAATTGTCCTGGGAACACTCAGAAATCTCCTTTCTGAGAACTTCTCCAGTACAGACGTGCAAGTAATGTCATTAGAGTCACCTGATAGTTCCTCCTGCCCTGGGCACACTGATAACTGAGAAGGGTTGCCCTTGCTTTTCACAACACAATTGCAACTTGTCAAGTTTCCTCACTTTGGCAGTTCAGCTGTTTTTAACAGAAATGCCCTCCAGCTATGACAAGAAATCTTGCAAATCAGACTTGTTTAGGCCTCATCCTCTGGTCTCTGCCAGTTCTCCAGCAGCTCACGGGGGAGAATATCTGCCTCCCAGGCTCGACCTGACTGGATCTCTGGCTCCACCGCAGCTGCTCTTCTCCTGCTTCAGGTTCTAATCCAGGCAGCTTCCCTGCGATTATCACGGGTTAGCAGCAGGTTTCCAGCACTGCTCTTACTGAAAGCTCTTTATTTGGAATAGTCAGGTGTTGAAGTATCAGATGGCTAAAAACTTGCAAAAAATGTCTTGACCTAAAGGACCTCGTCAAAGAAGAGACTGATAGTCTTTTTAAAACATAATCTAGGCTGTATTATGTTCCCCATAATGGCATAGTATTAAWCCCATATAAAGGACAGAGAGTTCTAATGGAGCATATTCACAGGAATGACTCCTCCAGAAGCTGTCAGAAACAGCTCCTTGTCCACGGGAGCTGCTTGCAGGTCGCAAGGTCTCCACATCTGGCTCTCTGTGAACCCTTTCGTTCTGCCGTTGTTTGGTCCCATTTTTTTCCTCCCATAGACGGCTACATATAGTTGAACTTCTGATTTGAAATGCACTGCATATCCCCAGTGTGTGAATTTGTGCCCTGTATTACAACAGTAGAAGAGCTGCAAAAATGCCTGCAGAAAATAGCTAGTCCATCTCCATTCCTTCAAACAGAATCAACTCTACTATGTCCTTCCTGACTGCTACTTGAACAAACGTTCAATGCTTACGTTGAACATTTAGCATAAGTTTCCTTACGCTAAGGTTTTCCTGATGTCTAATCTACTTCTTTTTTTACTGCAAATTTTTCTCTTCTTAAAATTTAACAAACCACTAAGCAGAATAACAGAATTGTAAAAATAACACAAGAGAGTAAAAATCTAGCAGAATATCCTCTCCATGAATAGATTATGTTTACATAACTAATATAATCACAGAGTTTTTAGAAATACATTTAGACAATACTGAGATTTGAGCTGCATGCTGAATATATCAAGCAAAAGACATAACTAATACATAAAAGATATTCTTGATAAATTGCAATATTGCTAAAGCAAGTATGTGTATGACAGTAATATCTCAACTGTTCCAGRTATTTGCAAGTGTCTAGAGCTGACATTACTGAGAAGACTAAGATCGCTCATTGTGCTCTACAGAGACACAGTTTTACAGCTACCTGCACATCATGTGGCTCCAGACTTTACTTTTTCAGCAGTGTGTTTGCTAGCCGAGGCTGCTTCTTAYCAGAGCAACACTAAGACACAGGCAAGGTGAGAAGGGCTACATCTCTGCTGTTTCTGATTTTGCACATGTTTATTTAGGGGGTCCTACAGTACCTTCATTGCAGCTGTGGCAAACTTAGACCTCCTGGTAGACTGTATCTGCTCTGAAATATCTCAGGTGATAAATACACTCTTGGTAGACTAAACCTTAGGCTAAAGATACTATTTCAGATCTTTCTCTCCAGARGAAGTCTGCCTCAGGAGCAGAATGGGAAATTCACATAAAAAAACAGATCAGTAATTAGAAATTGATCTAGYTGCCTATTGAATTGTGTCCACTGATGCTATAAACTGCCTGCACTGCTGAAGAATGGAGGTACGAGTAYAAAATGAAACATTAAAATACCCATATTGAGATCTGATGGTTCATCAGTTAAGCATTATATGATATGGTAAGAAGTAGTTTGTTCTACAACGCATTACAGATTCTTTGTTTTCTTTTCCTCTGTTGCATCTCAAATTATCATCAAGCTGTAAGAGGTTTTAATAGATCATGGAAAAAGCTTTCATTATCTGCATTACACTATAAATCCTTTCCAGTTAGGGGAAAATATATTTGGGCTGAGACTTACCTGAACAAAGTATCTAAGGCTGTTAGACTTCCTAAGGAATGCTGCCTGGAATCCAGCTGCCAATTCRGACAGGAGTGTTTCTCCCTCAAATCCTACAATATTTCTGCCAGGCTCATTCATATGTCTCAAAAAAACAAGACTTCTAAAATGACACTAGCCATCTATTTGTAGGTACGAAAATTCCACTTGTAAGATTTACACATCAAAACAAGGCAGGTACTAAGGATCTGATATAATTTTTTATTTGTACTTTATTGAATTTTCAACAACAACACTTAAGAGATCAGAAGACTTGCATCAATCTGCCCTATGAAAAAGATTTTAGGCTGACCATTTCGTATTTTACTGTAGCATGTGTATTCCTGTGTTGAGACAGTTGTGAATTTATCATGCATAAAGAAGCAAAAAAAATCCCTGTGCATCATTTGTATTTAAGACCCTAGGAAAACCCTGTCTAAAGGTGATTGCTAAGTATGAGGACAATGTAAAATAGAAAGGTTCTTTGCTCTTTTCCTCTGCCTGCATGGTATCCAGAAAAGAACAGAAACCCAATGCTAGGAGATGCCTAGGAATCCTTATGTGAGCTCCAGATCAGGACGACTGCTACATGCCACGTGCTGTTGTCTGGAGAGGCATTCACAGACCAAAGCTCAACTGTGGAGAGTCCCTATCTATCTTCGTAGTTCAGCTGGGTGTCGACCTATGAGATATCTTCAGAGAAACCTTGATGTACAGGTATTAACAGGAGCTCAGTGAAAAATGTTGAGAGCAAAAAATAACTAGAACAGTAAAATTTCAGGAGAAATTTACTTCCAAAGGTTTATGTGGAGGCTAGAACTATGTTTGAAGTCCAGACAAAAACAGAACTGGGATTTCTGAATGGGTGCTTCACATGTATTTATTGTAAAATACTTTGAAAGGCAAAGGATATTGAAAAAAGGAAACAAACCATCAGTTTGGTTATTTATGAAAGGGTATAGTTTACAGTAATTTGTAATGCATTATATTTATGTTATTCTTGTTTTATATTTATTTTCCACTCTTAAAATTTAATCATAATCATAATCTCTTATTTCTAATGTTAATAGTGCTTTCCAGAAGATGGCAGTCCATTCCCAGGATCAGTTGGTTCTCATTATATTCTTAATCCAAGAAGTATAACTAGAAACTCGGACAAAGACAGGTTTTTTAGGTGGGGCACAACCAAAGCCCCCAGAGATAATTCCATATTGGACAAACCTGTCTTGGACTAGACAAACTAAAGGTCCTCCACTTTCTACCTAAAGAAGAAAAAAGGGCAATATGTTAGTGATAGCACATCAGTCATCAGTAATATACAAGTAGGAGGCAAAGAAGTGAGTGAATACATCTCCATAGCTGTACAAGGAAAATAAATGTCATACATCTGAATTTTGGCTAGGAAAGAGTTTTCCCTGTTGGATAATTCTTGTAAATTTATATATTCTAAAGAGTTCTGGAGACAGCCAGGAACTAAGACAGCCATTTCATTTCATTTCATTTCATTTCATTTCATTTCATTTCATTTCATTTCATTTCATTTCATTTTGTTATGTTTTTTATTTCATTTTTATGCTTCATATTTTTATGGAACAATCTGAAGAGTTTTTTCTTCAAAAATGCAACGAGTGATTGTTTTTCTTTACTTATGATCCTCCCTGTTTTCTATCTACCTGTTTGTGCTGCGTATGTGACTCATTCAAGGGAGCCTTGAACTCTGCTGTGGAATAAAAAATAGGGCCTTAAACAGCACATGAACAAGCTACAGAAGCTGAAGTAAAAAAGTAATTAGCCTTAACAGCATCTGACATAGTTACTCTTGAGTTGGTCTGAGACAGTAGTTCATGCATTACGTTTCAAGCTTGGAGAAGAAGCTGGCTCCTCTCCCGTGTGGCAGCATTAGCACAGTGCTGAGCAAGAGTTGGTGAGCCCACCCGTGCAGCAGCTCAGGTGCTTACACTGACTTATTTGTGTGGCTGTCTGCAGGACAGTGGCGTAACGAAACTCTATGTGAGAACTTACGGAAGAAGTTTGTCTTTACAAAATMTCTGCATGAGTTGGTTTTGCCCATTCACACTCATTCTGCCATAGATTTCATTTGTTTGCACTCATACCCATACGCACCAAGATGTACACATCCAAGCAGCCCAGTCAGGGTTACTGATGTGCAACATAAAGGACAAGGGACAGCACCTATTGAGTTCTCAGCACGTCTTGTGTCATTTCTGATAGTCGATGGCTAACTAGTTTTTGGGCAGRTCTTTTACTCCACTTAGGAGACAATAGTTCTTATAGAGTGATCCTTTCCTGGATGAAAGCCTGTCTTCCTGATGGGTTAAGAGAAGAATGGCACAATGAGATGTGCTAAACTTTATTTTCCTTCTGCTGCTGTCAGATGGGTCTTATACTGAAACGCTGTCTGTGCTGTGGTCTTTACTGCAGCATAGGTGTTCTGGGTTTGACAGGAAGAGCATATTSATCAGTTTTGCTATTAGTAATGATATTCTTTGTTATCCTTTTAACCTTTATTCTGCTCTTTCTGCTGGCACCTATACACACACATTTCCTTTCATATTTTGCTGATACCAACCTTTATATTTCTATTCCAAGTGTCTATAACATCACAGACATTCACAGTATCTAGGGAACATCTAGTTCTAGTRATAAGAAAGGTTTCTGGTGAAAAGCACTGTGTGTGCCTTTCAACCCTTACATTTCAAATGGAGGATGCACCACATAATTTCAGAGAATAAGAATTAAACCACAGAGATTAAGGTATAATTTGATTGTCTTGGAGCATTAAGCAGAAACCTGAAATACAGTGATTAACAATGATATAGGAGATCAGTGAATATACTGAGATCACTAAAGAGCTAGAAAAGTAAATTTCTAAGATGAACGCMTTTCTTACCTGAAGGGTATCTGTGCAACCATTAATGGGCTCAGCACAGAGTTCAAACTTTTTGACTCTTCCATTCAGAAATTCAGAGCTATTGCATGCTTTATTTTCAATCACGGCCAAGTTGGTCTGTTTTAGAACATTATCTCCACCAGCACCTTTGGGAAATAAACAAACAATAACAAAAATATATAAATTACAAAAATAAGACTGCTATCAAAAGCTTAATACTGATGAGTTTAGTACTGGCAAACAATTTATCTGTCCTCCAACCTGTCCTCCCATTCTATTTTTGTGTCAGTGGGAGTTATTTGAATTCTATGCCGTAGCACATAAACCTCATAGGCTTTGAGACAATACAGTCTTTGAGACAGAATCTTATCTTCACTTTCATCCCATCTTTGTTAGTTAGTGCCCCTCATTGCTGTTTTGGTAAATGCTGCAGGAATACAGCAAAGTGTACGATGAAGTTTCCTATTTGTGGCCAAATAGCGTATAAAAGTGATAAGGAATCTATGAAATAGTAAGCTAAAAGGAGAAGACTGCTCCGGAAAGAGGACAGTTCTGCTTAGGAAAATGGAATGACTGACACTGATCAATAATATTTAACTTATGCAAAAGTTTAAGTGTGCACATTTTTCCCCATAAAATGTATGTAAAAAAATCTGGAGACCAACTGTATTGTCCTGTCAAGACTATTAAACTCCCAGATGCTTTGACTATGACTCACCTTTTACTTGTCCCCAGCCAGTAGCAAAGCATTCTGTTCTACTTCCTATCATCAGATTTTCTTCAGGTAAACACACAGGTATAACTTGGTCAGCAATCATTGCAGGACTGAAAAGGAAGATTCACAGAGATATAAGCTGTAAGTTTGTTTATCATTGAGCCACTTGCACTCAATGTCCTACAGCAAGATTGGTGGGAGAGAAGCAAGACACTGGTTTGTTTTCACCTTCAGTATTTTCATGGATGAATCATGTGAAATCGTTTCCTGCAGTAGTAGGAAGTAAATTGAGATCCAAGCTGAACTCTTATCACATATTTATATCAGAGGTATCTGTCTGTGTTCCATGTCTTGGTAAATCAAAACTCACAGGCTCTAAGATGGAATATTCTTTTCATGTACCACTATCAGCAGCCACTTTTCAAATCCATATAGGTTTATTTGTGAAAAGTTTATTTGCATAGTTTGTGTTTATTTGTATATATAGAAGATATAAGTTTATTTGTCAGAAGAAAGGAGTTAAGAAGGAATGCTGGAATTGAAATGATACCTGCTCAACTTCAGTAAGGCAATGCCTGCCCCAAATGGTCCCTGGAATATACCCTTAACCTCTCGGACTTGCACAGATGGTTCTACAGCCTTTGCTGTATGTAGCCCAAGGAAGATCCTATAGGTATAAGGTACTGATGACCTGCAAGAAGTGATTGTACCRTATGAGATGATTATAGTTATACACATAATTATGCACAACCACATTCTTATATATGCCCAGGACTCCATCCCTGATAAAKGTGAACATTTCTTTGCATAAGTATACTGACAAGACAGAAGAGCAGATTATTCTTCTCAACAAAATAAATATGTACATTTTTTAATGTTCACATGTTTTTAATGTTCATATTTCAATGTGTCTGTAAACTACACAGTACTTTCTTACTTAGTGGGTGAATCTAAACTACAGAAACTTTTGGCTATCTGCAGTGTGCCCAAGCCCAGTCAGAGGGAAAAAACATGATCAGTTCTACTTCTGCTCTTCACAGTTCAAGAGAGAAAGGGCATAAACATAACAGCATTAAATTATACTTTGTTCTTAGAAAATTAAGATTGAAGAAAACAGAAAAACTGAGGCTACACAAGCACAGATTGTATGCTTGGCCTGGGTCTCAGCACAGGGCACTGGTCCCGCAAACTTCATTGTTTGCTTCATTGTTCCATGGATCAAACATGTATCTCAAAGGGGAAGTGGCAGGCACCAGACTGTGTTCCTTCTCAGAAGCTGATGCTCGATGCTCTGAATATTCCTCCATTCTATCCCAAATGTCAAGTTAAATGAGCTACCTTAGCCCAACAGCAGAGGGGACAGAGACTGTCTAGATGAATATAATGGACAAATACTTTAGTCTGTCACTGTCTAACATGACACAGATGAAGTCTATCATTAGGTTTGTAAGACGCTGTTCTGGAAAAGATTTCATCATCTTTTCTTCTCCTCACAACTAAAACAGCTTGTGGTAAACTTTGATCTGTATCTTAGTGGGTTCTGTTATTCCCTTGAAAATCATCAAATCCTTCTCAAATAAACATAAAGCTTGCCATGGAATACACCTACCTTTCCAAACAATGAGCTGCTGTAAGAATCCACTGTGGATCTATCAGAGTACCACCACAAAGGTGCATGTTGGTCCTGGAATAAAAAGATTTGAAATCAATTATCCATCAGCCTTTCAACACACCATGCTTTTCTTGACAAACTCTCAAAATCTTTCTCCCCATCCTCTAAGATACTCTTTAACATCAAGTCAAAGGTGCTCACCAGAAGGATATACATCATAACATCACRTCTTCTCTATTTTTTGCTATTTTGTCCCCTGTATTTCATAATGTTGCAGTGCAATATGGTGTAGCAATACCTTGTCCTAAGACTGATTTGCCAAGGCCAAGAATGTGGCACTGACGCACATCCATTCACAGCCCTTTGACATCGCCTGGGTTTCCTCTTCGGTTTCCCACATTCTTGTTCAAAGGGAGCTACAGAATGAAAAACAGTAATGCTAAGGCATTTAAACATCATTCAAAATGCAATCACACCTAAGGGAGGTGGGTATTGTATTAATCTTTTTTAGTTGTTCATTCTTTAGCTAGATAACTGCAAATCAAAAAAACACATATAAATAAGTGCTATTATATCACTTGCACTAGGAAAGTTTGTGGCTAAGATGTCGCTTTCCACATAGCGCTATCCCACAAAACACTTTGAATTAAGTAGGTATTATCTGGATAGCAATGATCATGAAGTAACAGCATCCATAAAAATTCAGTAGATCCTTCAAATAGCAGCAGCAAAGATAACTTTTGTAATCCCATTTCACACTTCCTGTTGTTGAGTTTGTGGGTTTGGTTAGGGCTATTAAAATTAAATGGCAGGGTACAATTACTATGAACAAAGCAGGTGGATAGAGAAAAAATATTGTATTGATTCTCAGAGGTTGATAATAATTTTTTACTGGGTCCTTGACATTAGTATAATSAGCTAGATCTTTATTATGGGCTGATATGTTTTTCACTTAAATATGGACATAATTGAAATCTACAGCTGCCCTGCCATGATTAGATTGCCTTTGAGCTGGGGTGAARAATGATGATACCTTTCACAATTGTCCTAAAAGACTGTCAAAAGGAACAGTAAAAGTTGAGTCTGGGGAGTAGTGTGCTAGATAAGCAGACTGTCAGGTGAATCTAAAAGTAGGGGCTTTAGGGCTCAAAACCCAACAAYAAATGGCTCATTGTCTGCCTGACCAGTAATGAGCAGAGTCCCCCAAGGGATCAAAATTGCAATCATTTTATCAGTACCTTACTTACTGACCTGAATAATGTCATCAACATACTGAAGAGCAATTTAAAGCAGGGCAAGTGACTGATACAGATTCCTGGTTTTGCACTGGGGTCAAAGAAGCCTGAAGCCCATTTACTTGGAAGCAAATGGCTGAGGAGGATCTGAAACTTGGTTGTGGGTCACAGAAACTGCAGAATGGATAGGAGGCAAGAGTGGTTTTGGTTGGAATAAGGCAGACTTCATACTGTACTACCTGAAAAGGAACATGGGAAGCAGAAAACGGGAGGTTTTGTCTRGCACTGATGAGGCTGCATCTGAAATACTGTGTCTGGTTTTGAGTCACCAGTTCAGGAGCCAAGCCTACCAAGAAGGTCAGGTTAGAGCATATGGTCCATGAGAAGAGGTGGAGGGAGGTCCATTTGTTTGGTTTGACAAAGAGGAGGTTAAGGTGAGGTCCTATGGCAGACTACAGCTACTGATGAGTACTGATGAGGAGCTACAAAAATRAGAGGGACAAAATCTTCTTGATAGTGCCACACAACATAACAAAGGGAAATGGTCACATATTGGCTTGGGAAATTCAATTTGGATAGTTGGAAAAAAAAACAGTGAAAATGTTGCAGCCAGCAGTGTTACAGGATCGATGTGGAATCCTTATGCTTGGAAGTTTTCAGGGTCTGATGAAACAAAGCCACAGATAGTCTCATGTTAATGACACTTCGGAGTCTACTTTCTTATCAATTCTTCCTTTTACGTGAGTCTATGATTCTGAAACAATAATTACCGCACTTGGGAATTTCACAGTATTCCCAGACTTTCTGAGGGTCTGTTGTGTAGCACCATGGACCATTAACATCCTCATCAGGATTCCTGCAATACTGTAAGAATTAAGAAAAAAAAAAAAAAAAAAAAAAAAAAAAAAAGAGACTCAACTTCAGGATAGAAATACTTTGTTTGAAAGCTTTGTTTTTTTCTCTTTCAGTGCTCAAAAAGATAGTTTGTAAGCAACACTGACCTTTTTCAGAGAATTCTACCTTTCTCTTTTCTTTAATTTTCTCTTTTAATAAAGGTTTTACTCCTGTGAACTTCATAATTTCAAGAAGGAAGAAAGAAAGGTATGCCTGATCAGCAGCTTTTCTTCAGGACACAGTAACTAAGGAGAAATTACTCTCAGAAAAAATGAAATTTGATGGAGAGCATGGATTCACTTCATCAAGAAGAAAGACTTCAGCAAGGTCCAAAGACATGTGGCTATAGAAGAAATGGTTTATAACACAGCACAAGTCAGATAGTAGGTAGATTATGAAACACCAGRGCATATGAAGTCACTGCTTGAAAGAGAGGCATGTTAAAATGAGTTAAAAGAAAAGGGATGATTGCTGAAGAACTAGAATGRATTTTTGAGGAAGTATGGCTGCTAAATTCAAGATGTTTGTGGTGCTGAGTGTTATAATAAAAAGGTACCTAAAGAAGCCTGGTGTAAATTTTAAGTCTCTATGACTTCTGTCTCTGCCTCTGTCACTACTGAAAACCACTTTCTCCAACTTACTCCTCCTAGTAGACCTGTTAGAGGCACTGCCTGGAGGACAGACCTCATGGTCCTCAGGTATACAGAATAACCTATAATTTGATAGGTAATATCCAAAGATGTTCATCATTTTTAGTGAGTCAGAGAGAAAACTATACTACTGCACCAAAGGAGAGGACTCACCTTGTCACAAAAGTGGTGACTATTCACACCAACAAGAATTGATGAAACAAAACTCTTAGTTTGTTCCAAGGACCTGGAAATTCTTACTCTGACAATCAGTGTCCATGTCAGAGTGAACGATACAAAATTAGAGGCAAATATTGCATTAACAGTTTCTTACATTTTTATCCAGGCCTGATCTTGGATGAGTTTCTGGAGTGAGGTAACTGTGGTGATGAGGCTCCTGAGAACTCCACTCTTGACAAGTCCTGCCACCACTAGTTTTTGTGACTGCACCACGATAATCTTTACCATTGCCAATAATACACTCTGTAAAGGGAGGACAAAAGGTAATGATGAGTTAATGTAAATCATTGGTAAAATTCTGAGATAAATTAAAATAAGCAGATGGAATTATTTCTTTCCCATCTGTGGAATTCTGAGAAAAATCTACTGAAGCATAGTCTGTACAAAATAGCAGCTCACAGAATTTGTTGACTTGGAGATGACTGTTAGCACATACAGTGCAAAAATATTGAAAAGACGCCATCCTACTGTTTCTTATGCAGTATTAGTAATTCATATAAGAGTTAAAACATAAGAAGTTCCTGCTTATCATAGATATTACTTTGGATTCTCTGCCATGACCAGCAGATACTCACTTGCTGTTTGCAAATGAGTCACATTTTCACGCTTTCCTTTTCAGTCACAAGAATTACAAATAATTTTTAAAAGCTGATTTTTGACTCAGATGGTTCTCACTACTTTCAGATGCTGAGGTCTAGGTATCTGCCCATTAATAGCCCCATTATAAGCCTAATGATCGCTCCTATAAGGTGTTATACCAGATACTTGCAAGCATTTTGCAAGAGTAAATATTTAGACTTGTTCTATCTCTTTTCTTCAAAACACAACGGCCCATTACAATGTTTTACCACATGTAAAGCATACCTTATGACGCTAAGGTTTTTAATTAGAAAACCAGCAAAATATAAGGCAAATGAAATCCTTAGTAGAGATACTAACAATTTGCTACAGATGAGTGCAAAATGTTGGCTTCACTTGAGCAGAGAATAGAACCTATATAAGACAACATAAAGATATGGTGCAACACCGGCTCCTAGTCTGAAAGCAAGCTCCTGAGATATGTCTCCTGCTGTTCAATCTACACCTCACATCACCTGTATTCTGCACACATGAACAGACTTGAGAGATTTGAGAGAAGGTTCACTGCTTTCACTCAACACATAGGTTGAAGTCTTCTGTACACCAGATATCTCCAAATACTAATGTGGTCTCTTTATTTAAGTGGACTGAAAACAAGATCTTTTAGCTAGTTACTTACATTTCACCTATATGTGCTGTCATGCTCTCAATACTATACTAATGCAGTCTCAAAACCTCCCATTTGATTTCTTCTGTGTCTCTTAAGATGAAAATTATATTATACAATATGATAGATAGCAATGGGGAATTCTGCTGACACACACATATCAACATAGAATCTTGGCCACTTAATTTTATGAAATTGTTTGTAAACTAGAGGAAAGGGACTATACTGTCATTTGGATTGATTTCGGTAGGTACCTCTTAGTTCCACCTTTTATTCATTCTTGAGGAGTCAAAGTTGTAGTTAAGTGGCTACCTGTTACATTCAAAACAGTCATCTCAGTGCCTGGTTCTAACGATGGAAAAGGTGGTTCAAGTGAAACAAGAGGTTCTCCATAATGACACTTTTGCAGATTACAGTATTCCCATCTCACAGTAGGAACAGTAGTGTAACACCAAGGGGCTATATCATTATCTGGGTTTCGGCAATAATTCTCTCTCAGATCCCTAGAAACATAAACACAGTGCACTTTGTTTCATACATAGGCTTCCAAAAATGCATGGGAATATTTCACAAAACAGGTGAGGTGTGCAAAATACAGAAATGACACAAATTTGTTTCTTTGTTCCACGTCACAGAACTCAGATCACTATGAAGGAAAAAGAAACAAGTAATTATCGATATAGTATAAACTGAAAGGTGTATACTCTACAACAGCATAGCTGTCCACTTCATTTTTGATAAAACCTAGTAATGTGTGAGGAGTATAAACTGCAGGTTATACTCCTGCAGGTTATAGAAATATTCTATCTGCATAATGCCTGATGRTGAAGTATTCATCTTTATTAACAATCACTAGAACATAAAATACAAATAGAACATAAAATACAAATTTCAAATATATAAAATTTATATATAAAATATATATTGTGCATATACAGTGTATATACACAATATATACAAATATATAAAGTATAAAATTTTAATATACAGTTAAACTGATCTTTATATTTTAGGACTGGAAGTTTATTATAAAGATTAAAAAGAATGCTTTTCCCAGTGTCAGAAATAGAGAAATCAACAGAAACCTCCTCTCTAAATTTAAGAACCAATAAATACTTATGCATGTGAATTTGAGTAAGGGTTACTATCTAGGAATATTTCTACTGAATTCCTTGAGCATTTCCTCAAACAAGTGTTTACAAAGTGAATCTTGGATGGGATGATAAGGGAAATGGTCTTCCTCTCTCAAAGAATTTTAGAGCTCAGATTAATTTCTCCATCTCGAGCCAGAAAAGTGACAAAATATCCAAGAATTTCACAAACAAGAATCATTCACATAAAATAATAATTGAGTTGATTAAAACAATGTGATTTGAGTTTGGATAGAAAAATGAGCTGTAGACAGAGTGTGAAGAGAGATTTATGCGAGAAGCAGTAAAGATACMCTGAAAGGATTTGTGAAAGCAAATGACAGATGAGAGGACTCCAGCAGGATAATTACTGAAATTGATATATTGTGGATAAATGGAAAAGGACAGGAATCAGCATTACAGAGCTTGGAAAGGAGATATTTTTATTAGTCTCAGCATTTCCATTGCAGTGTAAAACTAAGAGTAGGCATGTTAGCCAATGTGATGGTTTTCCCATATAAAAACAGTCCAGGCCATTGGGAAATATCTAGGATGTTGAATTCTTCCATCTGTTACTCACTGAAGCAGCTTTAAAGGCTATCACAACTCTCACAAATATTAAGGAGATAGCTTTGGAAAGCAGGAGGATATTTTGCCATATGACTGCCTTGCATATGTTGAGTAATGGCAACTCTTAAGTTCTTTAAGGGCAGTTTAAAAGAATGGGTTTTATTTATATTTAGTCCACATTTTAAATATTTGGGGAAAAAAAAAAAAGAAAAACAATCATAGAATCATAGAATCATTAAGGTTGGAATGGACCTTTAGAGATCATCTAGTCCAACCCCCTAAAAAAGACCAAAAGGTCATTTAAAAAAAAAAAAGTTTCTGGTTTAGAAAAATAATAATGAGAACAGTTTTTTTTTTTTTTTTTTAACAAGGATATTCCTTTCTGCTTTTAACTACAATAGGGCAAATACATGTAAAGTGAGAGAAAAAAGGCTAACAGAATACAAAAATTTAAAATAAACATACGCCTTTGGGAAATTTTTTYCCGTTCTATTGTGACGATGTGGCAGCATTGAATTCCAAGCTTGGCATTTCTTTCCTGTGATAGTAAAAGAAGCTGTTCCACGGTAATCTAGGCCTCTCTCTCGATAGCACTCTTCTGGACTTGCAGACTGCCTTGATATATCTTTGTCTAGAAGGAATAGCAGAAATCAATCCCTTAATTTTATTTATGTACTTGAATTTAAACTAATGAAATAAAAAATCCTCAGGACAGACAGATGTAAAAGTGATTTAGTAAAATCAGACCGAAGCAGTTGCAGGAACATTTGAGAATAAAAAAAAAAAAMCAGAAAAACAATAACATCCACAGCAAATAGAATACACCAGATGGTCAGATGGTACTTGGCAGGAGCACTTGCATTTAAATTTCACTTTTGCCCATCACATTTGTTTGGATTATGGAATAGAAGGTACACATATAGAATCTAAAATTTCTTCAAATTTAATTTTTCATAGTTAGATGTAGGAGATTAATGTTCAAGGTATAAAAAATGGATTGTTATTCTTTCACTGATTTTTCCTCCTTTCATTCCCATTTTCCTCCTCTTTTCCCTCCAGTGTATTGAGACATAGGTATTTTTTCACCAGAGATTTTAGTTTGTGTTTGTTTCAAACACTTTCTTGCATTTGCTTATATGTAAAAGGAAAATTGGAATTCTCTAACTGGTCAATCAGTAGATTTAATACCTTAAATGTCATTTTACCTGTGACAAAAGTGTCCTACTTTCTACTCATGATTGAGCAAGCTCTGCAGTGTGTCCACAAGATCAACAAACAAACAATACCATGGAGCAGAGTTTTAATAAGGATTTTTAAGCACAAATGAACACCTCCCACTGTATTTTTTTTCTATTTCTGTAGCACAGGTTACTCCATCCTTCTTACCAGTGGTTTGGGATGCACTCTGTGAGCACTGAGGAATGCTACAATACTGCCATCGTGTTGTGTTGGTGGTGGTGTAGCACCAGGGCCTCTTCTTACCATCTGGATTCCTACAGTAATTTTCATCTAAACCCCTAAAATGGAAACATTGACTGAAATCAACAGCATCCTAASTAGCTACATACAAGCGAGTAAACTCTTTACCTGCTCTGTTTAATACAGGTAAAATATTGTCTCATGTCGCATGCCCCATTCCTTCAATAYTGGTTTGCAAATGGTCAACAAACCAAATAATAAATATGCTACGGGTGAAGGATGTATGATGACTTTTTCATGCTTGAACGTTTCTCTTTTGCGCTCTCAGGCCAGGAGCAGCACCAGACAGAAATGCACTAAAATACTTTTACTGACCAGATTGATGTATTAAAAACTCTGACCAGGTTCAGATGACTTTTGTGCTAGACCAGCTACATGGAAACTCCACATAACTGGGAATTCTCCAATTTGTATAGTGTTTAAGCCCTYAGCAGACAGCAAGAGAAGCCATAAAACATCCTGTTCTAGATGTTGAGAACTTCCTCCTCTCCTCCCCTCTCTTATGTCTCAAAGAACATATAGCCTACTAGCAAAGTACTGGCTGAAGCGAGACAGTACCACAAGAAGAGAGAAGTGGAAACACCAAAGACAATGAAACACCATTTAATCACAAAGGCTAGGAAAGTACTCAGGATATGCTCTACTCTTCTATCTAAATAAAATACTCTTATAGATGACCCTTTGCTGTGATCTGGTGTGGGGTACTTCTGTTTTATTTTCTCAGCGTGTGCTTCTTTATACAGGTCTAGACCATTGAGTGCAGCTYCAGAGCTTCAAATTCAGATGCTGCCCATCTTTCCTGATTCCTAAAGCCTTTAGGTTTGGGACTTGGTTTTGGGACCCAAAACCTTGACTCGGTGGCTTTATGTGACTGAGATATGTGTGACGATCTAGTGTCACAACCAGTCCCACCAGTCCCTGCCAGTTTGAATAGATGATCCCAGGCACGCATTGACCTTTTCCTTCTCTTTGCTTCTGGAACAACAATGCAAGAAATTTCCATTGCCTCTGTGAAGATTTGCTCAGTTGTATCCATTGTTCACAGAATTAAGGTAACTATCTGCTAACAGGTCAATTCTTGACCTGTGTTCCTATACAGAGAGCACCTTAACCAATGGCTTGTTGCCAATGTTACTGCTATCAAAAAATCCTAATCAAACTCAATTTAGACAATTTTAAAATCAGCTCCCCTTCTTTGAAAGCTGCCTAGCAGGTATATTTACATGATCCCCCAGACCCAGAGGGGTCCCACCCAGACCACCATAGGACCACCTTGAACATTAGTCAGCTAGGAAGGATACAGGATATGTTGTAATGGAGAAAGAAGGAGTATGAAAACTATAAATGTCAATAAAAAGAGCCTAAAGTGCCTGATAATAAACTGACTGAAAAAAAAAAGCGAATAATCTTTTAAGATGAAAAGAGATTAAAAAGAAGATGAAAGGAAGAGCAGTATCAAAGGAAAGAGCCAAACAGGAGTAGCCAGTAAGTCAGGGAGGAAAAGACTCAGCATCACATTCGCTGACAGTTTAGGATACCTCTTTTTGGTAATGGTAAGGCCTAAATAACAAGTTGTTTCATTTACTTGCAGGGATAGTTCTCAGGAGAGTGCCTGTGTCTGTGAGGGAACTGAGAGCTCCAGTGCTGGCAGGCAATTCCTGACTCAGTGRTGGCGATCTTGCCACGATAGTCTTTTCCATTCCCTGAAAGACACTGGTAGCCCAGCCGAGAAGTTGGTGGGGGTGTAGCTGTGCCAAGAAAAAAGAACAAGACAGAAACAGTGGCTCACGTAGATGCAGATATATGGTTAAGCCTTGCACCATGTGGAATACACTCCTTTTTCTTTCTACAGAAGTGATATTGCTGGAAAGCTATGGCTTTTCAGCTTTGTGAAGAAGAGGAGGGACAAGGTTAAAAAAAAGATGCCTTAAGATAAATATGCATATGTATTTATCTTCTTCCAATGATTTCACTGGGGGAAAAATGTAGTTGTAAAAAATTAGACCAAAAGTCTTGTTAAATTTTCAAATCAGCAATGCAACAGTTTCTTAAATTCAATTTCTTATGTCAGAAAAACCTATAAATAGGCATCTCCATTAATAGTATGTTTCTTCTTAAAGTCAGAAAAGAAGCATCACTAGGATATATGAAGATATGACTAGAGATCTCTGTATTTGTCTTTCTATACAAATGAACACTTTAAAAATTATATTGATTGTTCTTCAAGGCCTGAGTTTGTCTTTCAGGATAAATCTTTACTAAGATAAAGGTAAGAATCTATCCCATATTGACTAATGATGGGCAAACAATCACCACAACGAGGCCATGGTATTTCATGGATGTTCAATGAGTTAGCAGGTCAGGTGCAAAAACTAAGACTATTGGAAAAAATAGGATCTTCATGACTTATTTCTCAGGCAATACTATACTTTGAAACAATTGYATGGCAGCTGCACCCTCACTGAACTAGCCTAAATTAATGTAATGGAAATTAAGTAAATTATTCTTTCTAACTAATGTGCACCTTCTCTGATTCCAAAGTTTTTCTTGGGATTGTCAGACCTTTGATTTTGCATCTTTCCACTYTAAATTCTTTTGATGGGATGGTTCCACCCTACAGTTGCATGGGACACAAACCAGTAGACTAATTGCTAAAAGTCAGACTCACTGCAGCGAGGAATGTCACAATATTCCCAAAGTTTATTGGGACTGGTAGTGAAACACCAGGGACGAAGGTCACTATCAGGATTACGACAAAAATTCATCTTCAGATCCTTCTCTGGAAARCTAAATATGAAAATATAAGTTTGTGAATCAGTTATGGCTGGCTGTAGCATTCAAGATATTTGTCAGCAGACTCTCCCAGGCACTCTGGGAATAAGAGGGGTCGACTGGGACTCACTTTTTGGGAAGAAATCCATGCMTATGAGGCTCTTGGGCATCCCAGCGCTGGCATTCAAACCCAGATTCTGTTCTGGACACTTTTCCGCTGTAGTCCTCACCATTACACTGCATGCACTCCACTGTAGAGCCAAAGAAGAATGAAAATATGATGGGCAAAAATTCATTATTAGAGCTGGGCCATAAGCTCTCATACATACCTCTATGTTAGCTGAAAAATCCCTTCAAATAGCAAAGTTAAAGGACAGGAAAGAACACYGTAAAAATAAAATTATTATTTTTCCTATCAAGTGACTGTTGTTAGTCAATCACATTTAYATTATTTGCTTTTCTAAAACACGCACCTACAAAACAGGAATATTGTAAATCTACATTTTTTGTTTGGTATCTAATGGAATTTCTAAGGAGTTCTTAGAGATTGTTAACCTGCTGAAGATGCTTCCACATTGAAATAGCTTCTTCAGAAAAATGGCAAGATTTTCCATGGGAGCCATGGAATCCATAAATCACTAACTCTCTTTCATCACACTTCTCAATGTGACCTTGATTATTCCAATTCTCTGGATAACTTTTTTCCCCTCCTCAAATATAATTCAATTGTCTCATCTAAATGTTTTATTGCCAGGACAAAAAAATGCAAGGCGAAAAAGACAGAATCCCATCCTAAAGAGAAGTCAAACCAAATATCAATCCTCTATGCATGAATATTGGATCCCTGAATTTTTTCCACATGATAACCTCATCTTCATTATATTAACCAAACTTTATCAAACAACATTTTAAAGGCTGAGTTTTGCTCAGCCTTTGCTCTCTATCAACAATTTCAGGCTGCTCAATTAAAGTGCTGTATGTGATCTACTGAATTTGCTTTTTTTTAATTCCAAAAAAAAAATTTACCTTTCTAGTTGTAGTAACTTTGTGTCCCTTGTATGCACAAAATCATTTCACCAATTTAATACAATACAGAAAACAATCAGAAAACAGTTTGATGAAAATTTTGTGATGGAAATTTTCTTTTTAAGTTTAGCTATATTTAAATTTATATTTAAAATAAATCCTCAATTCAAGATGAAAGAAACATAGAATAATCTATATATTCTCTCATACTTATATATGCATTACAAAAGAAAATCAAAATCATTGTTGAGAATATAATGGGGAGAATTGAAGGAAGGAACATATACACTCTGACCTTCACATTCCAGGATGCTACAGTAGTCTAATCTGGTAGCAGGATCTGTTGTGAAACACCATGGGCCATTTTCATTTCCATTAGGATTCCTGCAATAGTTTTCTTCTAACCCCGCATGAGGATAATTTTCTGGGGTAAAGCTATAATAGAAGAATCAATACCACAACAAAAATAACAAAAGAAATTCTCTTGTTTTCAAGTGTTTTGRATTCAAGGTATGCAACCTAAAATCCAAGAAAATGGATGGAGAAAACGGTTCGCTTGTGGAACTGAAGTTGCTATATGAAGCTGTTATCAGGAATCTCTCCATAGTTGCTGGGATGCTGCTGACAAGCCCACGGTCTCATGCTCACAGTTTGCAACAGTTACAACCATCTCATAGGACTCTTCTATACTTTAATTCATTCGATATGCTCAACTTCAATTGTCATTGTTTTTAAACTACAACATTTGCAAGAGTAATAGTTCATAGGAGAACTGTGTTTTGGGAGAAGAAATGTCCTCTTTTATTTGTTTGTTTGTTTGCTTTGTTTTTTCTTGTTCTTATTTTTTGTAAGAACTAAAATTCAGAGTGACAGTTATAAAAAGGACATTATTCATTATAAAATAAACTCAGTGGTAAATATCTTGAACAYTCTGTGGTGTAAAATTGCTTGAAGCACACTACAGATAGTTTAGAAAAAAAATCAATCATAGTGTTTAGACAAACATGAGAAGAGCGTACTTTGATTTGTGCAGCGCACTATCCACCCACTTCTGGCACAGCACACCCTTCCGAGTTCTGTCTTTTGTTCCTCTGTAATCCTCCCCCTTTCCTTTCTTGCACTCTAGAAGATAAACTGAAACAAAATATAATTTTGTATTTTTTATAAAATATAATATATAAATAAATAAATATATAATAAAATATAATTTTGTTTTGATCATAAGTTACATAGATCTCATCTACCTAATGATGTGCACTTGCAAATCAGTTATGTTTAGCATGTTTCAGACATTTTGAAATCACACAGAAATGTGATTGCAATTTCATTATTATTAATAAAAGGAAAATAGACATATGAACAGAGTATATAAGAAAACTATTACAGGTGTTAACATACCTTTTTTTTCGTAGAGAACTGAATTTATTGTTTTGAAAATCTGTGTTCTCTTGGAGGTTCTAGACAATGTTAAACACCATTCATTTTTACTGAAGAAAAGGAAAGCCCTGTTGAAATTGAGATGGGAGAGTACATGAAGAGGAGTAYGTCATTTTGATCAAACTGTTATCCTCTGAACATTTTTATAAGCTATTTTAGCTGTTGTGTATTGTGTATCAGAGTTAGGCTTTGTGAGAACCTGGCCCCTGTTAACATYAGTGATTTTTACTCTTGAGTGCCAAATGCCTAAACTGGTCTTAGTTTCCAAAGGATATGGATATATGAGGAGTTATAAGCTAGGCTGTGAACTTACATCTGCTTTTTAAGTTTCTCACAGTAACTGCTTTTGTTGAGGCTTTTACATCAGCAAATTTGAAGTATCAGAGAAACATAGAATAATTGGAAGGGAATTATCAAGGTTTCAGTCCATGCAGGACTGACTGGTAAGCCTTAAATTAAAACTAGATGTAGAGAAACATATTGCCAGAAATAATCCAAGAGTTCATCTCTTTCAAGAAGGCATCCTTTGGATACGGTAGACTAAATATTCCCAAGGCATAGAAGAGAAGATACTCCTGCCTTACAGGAGGAACATGCAGTAAAGAGAGATGATTCAAAAGTCTCCCTTTAGATCACACTACCACCCACACTCAGTCAGCTCCAGAGACACTGAGATGGCACAGCTAAAAGTCCCATTAACACACAAGAAAAGACAACTGCTACAGGTTGGCCGTCCCTGCTCTATCCTGGTATCAAAACTACAGTAACATCTCTACAAACAAATATACAGAGTTTTCCTGTGGAAAAATAAAAACAAAAAATGAAAAAGAAACAAAACTCAAAAGAAAATAACAACTCTTATTGTTTTCTCTACACAGAAAGGCTGCTGAAATTAGTCCAAAAATGCTAAAATGCTGGATATTTGGRCCTAATAGTAATGTTATAGCTGCAAAAAACCCACAATTGCTAACGTCTCACTTTCTGAATAACATATTTCTTTCAGGTTAATATGTGAAAAGGTTTGTATGAAGAAGGAATTTTCACATAAATATTTTTCAGTGTATTAAATCCTCCATCAAAACAAAAAATATTTTTCTGTTGTACATGTTGATGTTTTTTAAAGTTTTCAGGTTTTTTTTTTTTTTTAAACAGTTTTTCTAAACTCTCCTTCCATATATTCTCTAGTATGCATCTTCAGGGTGGTATCYACCTCATTCCTCAGAAAACTTTAGAAGATTGTATTGAAAAAAAAACATGAAGCAGAATATTCAGAAAGAACACAGCTGAATTACCTGCAGGTAAATTTTTTTTCAACTTCACAACGTACTGCACATTCTTCTGCAGTATTTGCCTTATACGACTGTTGATGTGCATTTATCCAAGCTCCTTCTGTTTTTTTATAGCTGTCTAAGATGCTTCCTTGCACTAAAAGAAAAAGAACACAGAAAAATGAGCATACTACAGTTTCTGACTGTTTGTGACTTTACATCCCACTTTCAGTGTGGCAGTTGCATTAAAATGTAATTTCTTTCATTTTTTATTAATGATAGCAAACTCCAAATAAACTCAGTTTCCTGGAAATAGTGTAGGGTAGCATTACTTGAACATGTAGTATGGAACAGGAGAGAAGGCAGAGCAAAGGCAGAACTTTCAGCAATACAGTGTACAGTTTTTAAAGATAAATATTAGCTTACAAGAGGGCAGAAGGTTTTTCCTAATTGTTGCCCTGTAACTATGCACTATTCAGCTTTAAATCTCTACTACTAGTATCCATGCATGTTAACCCCTTATCTTTTAAATGCCTCTCTCACATAGCAGGAATAAGGATAAATACTTGCAAAATTATGAARTAATCAAACTTATGATCAAAGAGGATCATAAAAGCACTTTAAGACAGTGAGACAAAACACTGGCTTCATATCTTCACCATCCAGTTGCAGAACTGCAGACCAATAGCTTCTCTGAACGTCCTGTGATTCTCTCCATTGCTAATCTTAAATGCTATGTGTTCTTCAAGGCTATCCCAACTCTGCTATTCAATCTTTTTTGTTCTTTTTGCTGATTGTATACATATTTATTCGAATATTTACTCCAAATCCCTGCCACTGTTACAGATCTACTTAGAACTAACATATCTCTTCAAAATTTTACTATATTGCTTAGCTTTGAAAGACTAATCTGCTACATCTAAACAACTGCAATTTATATTTTAATCTACTAAAAGCCTATTTTGCTTCTATTCTAATTATCCTATCCTATCCTAATTGCAATTATCACAAATTAGCAATAAGAAAGCCTCAAGTGAAAATATAATCACAGAAAAGAGGGAATATTTTGTGCTTTTGTTTGTGCTATTTTTTAATGATTGGATTTCAAAAGAAGAAAAACAGTGGATTAAAAGCTAGGCTGCCAAACTAAGAAATACTTGATAGTAACAGAGGCAATAAACAGAGCCCTGGCATGCCCCACATTTCAGAGCAGTTAAATGGAGTTTTTATTCGAAAGGAAAAAGTTTTGTAGCAGCCTTGCAATAGTCTAATCCTAAGAACTTCAGAAAGACATCCTTGTACTGATTATACCCCTTCTTCAAAGAATAAACAGATAAATAGAGAAGCTAGCCTGGACAACAGTGTTTACATATATAGCAATGTTTCAGCCACCAGCAACTCCCATGTAATTGAGATTGCAGCTCGACTTGGTACTCTGTAGTCAGTTTTCACAAAAATCCAAAAGTATTGTAGTAATACGTTGTATCACATCAGAAGAACAAAAAATATTTTCTGGTAAAAACATACATTGTATTATATACTTTTATGTGTTAAATACTATATATAACATAATATTTATACCAAAGTATATCTCCACATAACCAGTTCAAAGCTGTCTTAGGAATCCCGAACTCTGGAGGAATTTGTATTTTAAGCAAAATTTCAGTTGTAAACATAGCTAAAACTGAAGTGTTTCACAGGAAAACAAACACAGAAAAGCTAAGTCTYTGAAAATCTGGTATATTTGCTACTCAGATGAAACTGCAATTCTGGATCTTAAACTCAAGCCTAAATCAAATATAAACTTGCAGCAGCTTAGGAGAGAGGCATCTATTCTCATGTATGTGACAACCTGCACAAGGGAGATTTTTCAAAGACAAGAAATCTTGATTTAGCAGTYTGGAGCAATTACAAGTCTGATACTTTTGCAGTCACTGTGGTGACTRCTCAGTATGCCTGAAAATCAGAACTTGATCTAACAAACATGATTTTGAAAATATTTGGATTTAATTTCACTAATTCAAATGCAAGACAAAGGAATCTTACCAGAGCACAGAAATGTGAGAGTGAGAAAGATGGCTTTGCTAATCCTCATTTTAGCTCAGCAAACTGGTGCTGGAAGCTGTGTGTGTCAGTGCACAGTCTTATCAATTCCTGCTAGAGTTATGCATCAAAAAACAGATGTGGTGAAAGAAGTTAATCATTTCCTCAGTTTCATTTTTCTTTTTTTTTTTTTTTATTTTCCAGACATTTATCTCAAATGTAAGATGTTACAAAATAATATTCATGTGTTTGTACTAAAAGCTAGAAAAAGTGAAGGAAATACTCTCGTTTTACTAAATACTCATTACTCTGACATTGTTATGCCTCATTTCATTTAACTAAGGGCAATATTACCTAACCATAAAGCTATCCCTGTTTCTCCATCCATGTCGGAGTCTGATTTTAATGGCCATTTAATTTGCCTTATCCAGACACTCCTTCCTTTGGAAAATTTATATTTTCAGTAGTGTTCTCTGTTAGATTAAGACAAGAGAAAATTGTAATGAAAGAATAATAGATGTAAACAGGAAAGTCTTACTCTTCAGAGTCTATAAGAGAAAGGACTATATGCAAAATAAGAAATGGAGAATTATAAAGGATCTTCACTTTAGTTTGCATAAATTGGAGATACATACCTTACTATCACATGCAAAATTTCATCAAACTTTATTGTAAAATTGTATGTTGCTAGCTCAATCCCTACATACTACTCCAACAGGAAGGCTATTGTTAATCCTCATTGATCTAACATTCTGGTAATGATGGCATGAAAGTGCAAATATGTGACATCAATGACAGATGTTAATTGGGAAGGAGTCAGATAAGCTATAATTTGCAAGACTAAAAACTCTAATAATTTAGAGTGAATTCTTTCTAACCTAATTCTCCAACAGGACCTCCTCATAGCAGGTTTGTGTTACTTTTTGTTTGTTTTATTTTTGAGCTAAAAACTATTTCAAAACACCTGGCAAAGCATTGTAGTGTACAAAGTCTCACCATGTGGTGAATTTAGAGGCAAGGTGAGTGCAGTTCCAGCACCCTTTTAAAATACAACTTCGATTTGTGGAAATACTTAGCTGTACAGACAGAAAAGAAATGCTTCAACCCAAGGAAGTATTCACCACAAGTGAAAAGTGGTTATACTTCTCATAGGTGGGATAGAGAGCTGAATAGAGGGAAAGAATGTAGTACACAAGGATTCAGTTTTCCTTTGGCTGACAGTGTATAGCTGTGCAACTATGCCCAATGCACCACAATGTCAAGAAAGACAGTCTGAAAATACTGTAAACTGCACAATAGTCATGACATCTGTTCTCTTGAGGTCAAATTTCCTTACCAACCAGACCCTCTGGCACTTAAAGCGTCCAATAAAAAGCTGCAGATRGAATAATTAAAATTGACTCAAAACTGGGCCATATTCAACTATATTTGAAGACAGGATTAGAATTCCAAATTATCTTGAAAAAGAACGGAAGAATGGCCTGGGAAAAAGTGAAGTGTAAACCTTCTTTTTTTCCAGAAAAAAAACCCAGTTATACAAATATGAAGTGGAGAATATTACCTACATAAAGAACTATTTTGAAAAAAGAACTGAATATTACATGTTTTCATAAGCCGAAGAGGGGTTAAAATCAAAACTATGTCTAGTTTTGGCACAGGACTTCAAAAGTCAGTTTGAGACAGACCACTGAAAAAGGTCAGGTGTCTCAAAATATAATCTATGACAAAAAACTGTCTAGGTAAAACTTTCAGTTCTGAGACAGTGAGGAGACTCAAGATAAGCCCTCAGATTTCTCAAAGGTTCTGTACTTGTGATGGATAAGATTTTAAATCCAAGTTTAAAAGACTGAGGACAGTCGTGAAGAAAAAACTGCTGTGATAAGAATAAGAAAGCTCTGAACAGTTTGAAATGATGACTTAAGACTCGTGCTCTGCTTTAGGGCAGAGGGATAAAACATACAATCCTATCTTCACTTTTTTTTTTTTTTTTTTTGAAATGTGAAATGTTCTAGTATCTTGAACCTGAGATATTTGTAATCCCAGCAGTCCAAGAAGTTGTGTATCTGGCATCTGGAACTCATTAACTGAGCTTATTTACAACTACTTGCTGTTTCCTTGCCYATTCCACTGAACTAATGTATATAGAAACTTGATTCCAGCCCTGCTCTTTTTCCTCTGTTTCTCTTTCCCTTCTAGAAATAATGAGAAGAATGAGAGAGGAAAAAGAAAAATGATTCAAGATTGAAATGTCAGTGTTGATGGAAAGAGAAGAGACAGCTTTTTAAACATGAAGCTCTATGAGAAACTTCGAAATGCAGCTGTTTTGATTTACAAAGTCCCAGAAGTGCAGAGAACTGCAGGCATCATTTCCAGAGCCAGACACTCCCATATAACTAATGGTCTATTGCTAATCAAACCCAGCTTTCAACAGTATAGTGTATAATGATATCAAGAAAGGAAAAATTAAGTAAAATCAAGGACTTACTTGTATCTTGCAGTTTGGGAGCCATATAGCTAAATCACTGGTTCTCTTTCTCCCTAGGAAAGTAATGGATTGCTAAAATGAGAAATGTTCAGAACTACTTTGTCTTAAATTTGTCCTCACCTGGATGTGCAAATGTGTGATTCTAATACAAGTCCTGCCCAATTTCTGCTCCATTAGGTTAATGGAGAAAAAGAAACAAACTGTAATATAAAGTGAAAACATATATATCTCTCTATATATAATTATGATGGAGAAAATGAAAATAATTAGGAAAAAAAAAATATATATCTCTCTATATATAATTATGATGGAGAAAATGAAAATAATTAGGAAAAAAAAAAACGGAAAGAAAAACAAGCCCAAAGCAAACCTTGTACATATAGATATTCCTAACAAAAGARTAATGAGAGAAAATGCTATGAAAATGCTATGTAATACTATGAAAAAACTCAGGCTAAAATCAAGCTTTCATACCGATTTGAACCATAAGATGCCATTATCTAGGCCACTAAATAGAAAAGGTTCATTAGAATTTTATTTAATATGCAAACACATTTTAGGAAGAAGGGTGTTTTAATTAAATGATATATGTTTGAGAGTTTCAAAACTGACTCTATATGAAGAACACAATAAAAACCTCTAATTGAAATCATGAAGCATRTGTTTAGGCATATAACAGAGAAAAGAGTCAAAAAAGTTTATTCAGCTTTCTTTTACTGAGACACTGACTGGGGAACTGGGATTCCCCACCTGCCATTGTGTCAGTGCTCCTTTGTGCTGCTGAGGAAGAGCCTTTTGTCACCTAACCCAACTCTTCCAAGCATGGCTAAGGAGACCAGCTAAGAGACTGAACAGAATAGTCTGACTATACTTTCTGCCATCTGTTTATTCAAAAACCAAAGACCTGGAGCCAGGAGAAAGGAAACACTTCCAAAGGCCTCAGCAGATTTCCAGCTTTTATTATTTTGTGTGTTTGTCTTAGAATCAAGTTACAGAATCTTGGAGGAAATTGAGCGTAGGGAACACAAAAGGAAATTACACTATTTTTAGGCAAGTAAATGGAAAATTAGACACAAAACTTCCATTTTAATTTTTGGTTTATAGGGGAGGAAAATTAATTTCAATACACAACTGTAGAGATTCTTGGCTAACTTTTTAGGTAGCCACTAGCAGGTCATGATATCCAAGAAATATGATTAACTGTACATCACTCTTCCATCATATACACATATACAAGTTTTGCTACTTTGATGCTCTGTATTTTTTTTCCTCTGATACCTGATGTTTCACAGTTCTCCACTGAGAAGCATACTGCAATGACTGTGCAACAGGGGTGGATAGCAGTCATGAGGAGCCATGTATCTTGTTCACGCTTGTTCACAGTATCTCAGTGCTCAGTTGTTTCCCAAAGTGAAAAAATTTGGTTACATTTGATTCTGTTTCTGATATTTCTCCAGTATGTTTTTTACTCCAGTCCATTCCCAGGACCTCAGTATTCAATTAGAACAGCTCAATCCCAGAAGAAGCCGTTATATTTAATGGGAAGTAAACAAGTTTTCTTTAAACTTATGTGTTTCTAATTTCTTTAGATTTCAGAAATCATTTAGATTCATTTAGAAATATAATTTCTTTAGATTTCAGTCTTTCCTGGGTTTTTCAATGACTTATTTTGGTAGC